AATCAAGATGGAAATTCATCACTATATAACGCCGTTGTTAGTCGGCTGCCACGGGTATTCCTCATCCTTTGTTTTTTATTGGATTTTAAACGAATTGAAATGCACGTTAATTTTTACTTTTCTATATCTTCTGTCAATGACTATATTATTTCCTCAATTTTAGGTTTGGTCAGTTAACAGTTGTCAATTTCCGAATGCTATAAGTGAGCCTATTGATATATCCCATATCGAGGAAGCTCCAGACGTGCCTCCCTGTACACCATGTACACCTCCACAGTGAATTATATTGCTCACGACATGTTACCTATCTGTTTTAATCGACAAGTATCATCCACTAAACTACAATAAAATTCCACTTACTGTATGACAGCATATGAAGCGTATGCAAGACTCTTTTGCAAGTATACGTTTGTTTTATGTGCTGTTTTATCAAGTGTTCCATCATCGTGTACAAAATATTTAAGTAAGGAAATGTTTTCGGAAACTGTCATTCCTTTTTTAGTAACATGTTATATGTTATAAGAGTGTTCCACTCGCATACCTTGCTTTTATAGTTCGTGTTACAATTTTTTTTCAAGTGTTCGTTCAAATACTCGTAGGATGAACATATATAATACAAACCATTTCGTTTGTTGTTGTAGTTAATCGTCTACTGCAGTTTGTAGTTGGGGTTTATCTATATTGAGAGTTTTGTTGGTTGTCTTTGTCTTTCATGTCTGCGTGACATCTTTTTATTACTGGATATTTGAACTTGAATTCAAACACTTGTACCTCATTTTTGAGCGAGCATACACTGGCAGTGGGATTTAAAACTGAATTAATGTGTTGTCTTGGAGGGTTATCATACTGATTGTTTATGGATCAGCTGTTTGAATATGAAATTATATATTCAATTTGGAAAGGGTGTGGATTGGGAAAGAATCAGCAGATGAGTCAAACTCAATAATGTTATTCTCTGAAATGATGGTGATCGAGGTTGGTAATGAAGACTGGGAAAAGAAATAAAAGTTCCAGTAATAAGGATCATTTTCAAGAAGAAATTGATTGAGTCTTGTAGGCTGTATTGGTTTATGTTTCAACGGAACTTAAAGGATGGGTAAATTTCGAAAAGTTGAAGGAGTAAGTATAACAGAAGAATAAATTCTTGCGTGACGGTCATGTTGTGGTCTGCACATGCTGATTTTTTGGACGTCTTGTTTTGTGGTTCTACGAATCGAAAATGAAACTATAGTGTTTTCTTTTTTCTTTTGTTGGATTTCGTTCACGCATGACTGAAGGAGTGTTCTTTATCACAGTTCTCGGTCACATATACTATGGAAGGATTCATTAAATTGGTGCATCCACTGCAGCTATTCGGCAGGTCTGGGTCTTTCAGTTTTGCTCTGTTATATGCACTTCATCACTCCGTCCTGATATATTATTGGTCTCCTGTCTCCTAAACGGTTTCTGGTTGCAACATAATCATATAAATTTCACAAGTTTCTATTAGTTTTATTGTTAGAGTGAATATCTAAGGTTGTTGCAATTGAACCATGTCAAAATCTTGTATGTGAATGTAACCGTTCTTTCGGAATAAGTCTTACTTTTACCAATGGTCATCTGTCGGGAAAGGGAAATTATAATACGTTGAAACAAATCATTAGACTAAAAGTCATCTTATTTTTTTTAGTATTCCTTGGACAAATATCAAATTGTTTCAGTTTTGTGTTTCATGTAAACAACTGTTTTCAAACACTCGTCTGGGTGTAATTGAGTTTACCTGCAGAATGTTGCAGTTTATTAACAAAGAACATGTGCATTGCTTAATGTGTTGGAAATTGCCCAAAGTTTTGCTGTCAAGATCTTCCAGTCTAACCAAACTTATATTTGATTTTTAAGAAGCTGTTAGCTCTTTGTTCAACTAACCTCCTTTGTTTTAAATCAAATCTGTTTGAATGTCGAAATGTTGTACAGGTTTTCCAGTTTGATAGTCACTCTTATAAGCAGCTGACAAGAACCAACTCTTACTATATAAAAGATTATGGTCATCAGGCAATGATAGTTCTTTACTCAATGTCTGCTGTATAAGGAGTTTAGTATTAGGAAATTTCAGTTCGGCTGTTCTTGCGCACTTATTCATTTCCTTTCATTTAAGTCTTTGTTTTTCCGATTTGTTCATTTCTTCCGCTTCCCATGCTCTAGATAACACTCGTAAAAAATTTTGAAGATTTAGAAATATTATTTTTTGGAAGATGTTGTTAATTTCGGGGAGATTCGCTGGATGAGGTGTAGAATAACAGAGAAATATAATAATTCCTTTATTAGCAGAAATAATAATACATTAATTTGACAGAGATGATAGTAGTTGTATCACAAACTTGTCGAGAGGCGAAGACTCGTTGATCTATCTTTGTTCTTAGATCAAAAACAATGCTCCCTTTTTTGGCGCTTGGTGAAAACAGTGCCGCCTTATTGGTGATACAAAATAATCTCCTCATAGCAAGCAATATGAATAAAAAAAATATATGTAGTAAATGAAAAATATTACATGATAACCCTGCTAAACAGTAATGGGTTTTAAAATAAAAGGTTCAAGGTATAAACATTACTTGTGAAATTTCATAAAACGTATTTCTTACTTTCATATAGTTTAGTGTTTCGCGATGTAAAATTCGCGACAAACACTTCTATGAAATTATCAGTTTAATGTGAGTATCTATCAGTACTTGTGTATCGTAAGAGAATAAAAATCGCTGCAACATATTCCATTACACAACAGATTCTTCAGTACAAACTCTAAACTACGACCATGAAAACTTCCCTAATAAGTCTTTTCAAGTTCTCTACATTATCTGGATTACTACCGCTAATTAATTTGGTTTCCCAGTGTGCAATTAACTGATTATTTTATTCTTTTTTTTTTCTAATGATTTATTGGATCTCTTGCGATTTATTAACCAGACTTGTAAGTTTGTAGTTTTTCGTCTACAAATTAATTTGTTAATGGCTGTATGTGCAAAACAATAAGTGATTAACTGTAGTATTAATAGTGCTGCTATTGAAGCGCCAGTGCTATTAACACTGACGAGGCATGGAAGATGCTGGCTTATGATATATTCTGTACTGTTCTTTTAGAAGTGAATGTTTATTCTAAGAACCAAAAAAGTGTAAAGTATTTTTAGCTAATTTAATGATATCCACCTGCTGTGTAGAATTTTTAAGACTGTTTAAGAGTATGAAACAGTCATTTTATATTCTTATATTTCGGTAAAGTGATTGGGAAGGACTTTGCGCAAAATCTACTTTTTAAAGTGATATTTGTTAAGTAGTGATTGTGCTTATTGACCCTAGTAGGGATTTCAGTCATTATATTCAGTCAGTTGATTTGCAGAAAAAAGTATAATATGGGTTTTTGATTTCTTCTCAAAAGTATTGTAAGTTATAGTATAAGACTTAAATTTACCAACGTGTCTCTTCGTACTAATATACCCCTCACAATTCACTTCACCAGGGAATATACCATACTGGGATGATATAGTAGATTAACGCCAATAAAAATTTGAACGATTCATTGATACTACGAGAGCTAATGTGACCATCAATGAATGGTCATGAAAAATAACTGATGGAAAGGGAATCGTGTAGCACCGTGTTATGTAAATATAACTTCATGATTATAGCGGTTATGGTGGTCTACGTATTTTAGTGGAACGTGCGACCAGCCGTTCTGGACCCTTTTTATACGTGGAGTAAATGAACCTAGCTATTTCAGAAATGATATGGGAGATGCTCGGGAGTTTACATCACAACCAAGATGTACAGATAGTGAGATTCTAGTCGGCGATAGATGAAACAAAATAATGCGGTAATGAGTAAGTCCCTCAACGAAGTCCTGCACATAGTTGCACTATCAGGACATGTGTTCAGGAGTGCAGAATCGCATGATCCAGTGTCTTTTGTTGGATGATATCAAGTTCTTTTGAAGGAGTATTTTATTATTGCATGAGGTACCAAGAGCTCATTTCGAAATGATTATTGAGATTCGCAAGAACATTGAAGAACTCTATAAAAAGGATGTGGGCATTTCATATCCCAATTGGTCGACCTTTTATTTAATACCCATGAATTTAATTATCTTTGAGATCTTTTTCTGTGATGAGTAAGTTAAACGATTCTATGACTAGGCATTCGTAAATCTCAAGATATATAAATTCAGAAATTCTTACTGATCACTTATGTTCTAGGTAGCTTGTTGGTGTTCATTCCTGACAATGACTTGAAAATCCAGTCCATATGCTCAGCCAAGATGAGCGAATGTGCACTGACTGCAAGGTTGGATGGAAAGTGAAATAAATGAGAATTAATATGGTAGATGATGTCGATAGTGATTACCGGTCGTTAAGTGCTATCCCGCTTCATTATTGCCTCGTCCAGCCCCGAATTAATGTACTGGGTAGGGAATGTTGCATGCAACACACCTAGCACGCTCCCATGATGATTGCCTGTTTTATTTCAGATGATGCTGGAGACAGCCTGCTTTGGTTTGTTCTTAATTCGGTGGTCTCTTAGGCTTGCTGTCGTGGTTTGTGTTTCTGTCTATAAATATTAAGGATTAAGGATTGAAATGGTGCCGTGATTGTTGCATCTCTTTATAGCGATGCCAAATCCTATTTTATTCATTTACTTGTTATGCTTTCAGGGCTTAGTTTATTTGTTGAAAAATATCTTTGCATTTATTTTTATCTTTTTTTTTGCGTTTACGACTTATTTTTTCCTTATTCTGTTGTATTTTGGCAACAGAGAGAATCCGGGGGACTGCAGGCTCTGTAATTATTCTTTAGGTGACGAACTCTGTGATTGCTGATTTATCATGTGTATTTTCCTTCACTTAACTTTATTCTGATTATATTTCTGCTCCGAGCTTCATTCTTCACAATTCTGTACTTATTCTTGACACAGTTTGTGGAGATATTTGTGTGTGTTTCATTTCAGGGCATGAGGTATTCCCATTGATTGACCCAATGTTTTACGTTTTCTACGTGAATGAAGGTTCTCTGAAGGCTTTAGAAGTATCTGTTGCACTTGGCTCGGTTCACAAACTACAATGTGTTATCGAAGAAATAACTCAGGTGCCCGTTGCGGAGCAGGTTTGTTTTTATTAAATCTAGAATTTACGTTCCTTTTACAACTGTGGGAACATAGCTTTGGGAAATTCAATACCAGTAATAAAGAAAATTCGAATAACAGACTGATTCAATCATTACTTTTTTGGGATAACTATAGTTTTATTCTGAACTGAATGATTGAAAAGGCTCAGTTTTGCAGGCTTTGCTTGTTTCTGGTGGAGAAGGATTGCAGTCGGAAAAGCAGGTGTCACATTATCAAGGAGCTGGTACGGAGTCAAATCCACTGTTCCTGTTTCGTAAATTATACAGAGAAGATGGTCAGGGCATAGAGTTGGCAAATAATGATGAGTTGTACACATTATGTTCGGGTACGATATACATACATATATTTATTTATATTAGATAAACATAGATGAATGCAGGCAGAACTTCCATTTATGACATAAGGTGCTGACTGTATCATTTTGAAATCTCTGTCCCTTTAATCAGACTATTTTTTCTGTCTCCGTGAAAATAGATTTCCAAAAATAACATGCCGTAATGTTATTTGACCGTAATAACCTGACATTACTAAACTAAAAAAGTGATATATACTTCATGGTTTATAGGCTACACTTTTGTAGTACGTAATTTTTTTGAAGCTATTTTTTTTTTTTTTTTTTTGAAAAAAGCTAATTATTCCATATTTATAAAATAATCTACAGGTTTATACGATGAACTTCATGTTCTTGATAGCTCAACAATATCAAGGCCATTGATTACGCGCTACTGTGACGCTGGGCGATTAGGACTAAAAGTTGCTGAGAGGTGTTTGCAGCTTTGTGCTCGTTTAGTTCAAGATCATCAGCTTTTGCATCAAGTAAGTTCACCATTTTCATTATCATCTGTTACTTCATTTTATCTGCTCATATGAATATTAAGTTCTTCATTTTCAGGGGTGGTTAGCACTGATATCTAATCTTTACGATTCACGAACTCAAATTGAAAAAAAATCGGAGCGTTTTCTATCTCGCTACGAACGTTTGAAAACAATGAAAATTAAAGCAGAAACTCTATTACAAGATTTTGATAATGTTCTTCGTACTTTGCAACAAGTTAGCACTATTGTTCTCTTATGTCAATGGTAGTTTAGTTACCTTTCATTGGATTTTATTATTTCAAGGAATTCTTTCAGATCAAAATTCCCTCAGCTTTATTGTCGAATTCATATAAATTGCAAGGATCATCGAAGATTGCTGAGGAATGCACACTGTACGAGTATATTGCTCGTGCTGATCCACAAAATTCGTTAGAAGAAATATCGGAGCAAGTTAATATGCTGTTGTCCAAGGTGCTGGGTGCTTCAAGTATCATATTCTTTAGAACTCTTGATCATTATAGTTCAACAGAGTTCTCAACGTCTAACTTATATGAAATAGTTTTTTTATGTTATTTATTTTTTAATGCTTTTGTTTAGTGTACGTTCACAAAAGTGAACACTTTACATCCTATCGTCAAAAATATACAAGCTACAGCATTAATGATTACAGAATTAAATATATGCTCTGATTAATCAGTGATGACGTTCATTGAGCTTAGGGATTATCCAACTTTTAAAATTGGCTTTCTAATATTATAGAATGGAAAGCTGCACAATAAAATTATTTTCTATAAAATAATTAAACGCACTTTCACTGCAGACAAGCGATACCGAATATAAACAGGTGATATCTAACATGAGATATGTCAGTGAGGAAGTGAGTAATCCTGAAATACGTAATATTCGTGGTATAAATACTCGTCTTACGCAGTTGGATGCAATGTTCCACAGTAAAGAGCGTTAGTTCCATCGTTTTTTTTTTTTTTTTTTTTATGTATATTTCATCCTGTAACCTTGGTTCTGACTGTGATCCCTTGTTTTAAAGATGGAGACTAATACATGTAAAAGATTTTATGAGTTTGGACCAAGATTTCTGAAACAATATAAGAATTATTTATCTTATTAAATAACGTTCCAGAGGAAACAAAAGTGCTAAAGGATTTATGTTTCGCTGTGTCACAATTAGCTGTTGATTCGCAGTGTACCAAAGTAAAGTTTTAACTTTTATTAATGATTAACTGATCTTTTCAAGAAATGTATGGTATAATGAAAATATCACGATATCCATTGGTTACGAAAAGTTTTTATTTTATAGGATATTGTGTTAAATCAGCGGGAAAAAATGTTCAAAGTCAAGAAGTTAATTGAACAGATGCAGAAGATGGGGAAAGCTTTTCAACAATCCAAAATCGAATTACTAAACAACATTAGAACAAGACTTCGGGGATGGATATTGCAGGTTATTTTTGCATTTTTATAGTCGTTGTTGGGAAGAAGAAAGGGTACATATTTCCGTTTGTATACCACTTCTCGAGTTGTTAAAATTTTGAATGCGTTGGAAATTTTCAGTTCATGTTATACAATGCAAAAATGACTTTTCCAGGTGTATGATAGATTGCATGCGACGAACAATCAGATAATTTTATTTGAAGAAAAATATATTGCTTTGCGGAACCGACTAGATATTATTCGACAAGTAAAAGAGAGTCCAATAATGTTTGCCACGGCGCTCACTGAATGTCTTCGTCGAAGTGTACTGCAACCAGTTCGTAAAATGAATTTTGAACTTGGTTAGTGCCAGTATCGTGGTTTAGACGTGCCAATTCATTACTTTTTACAGGAATTTGAATCGTGGTTTACTTCGTTTATGGAAAAAAGTGTTGCTTTGGTCACGGAAGAAACATCTGTACGCGAACTATTCAAGCAAAAATTAGGACGACATTTTCTGAAACAGTTATTTCCGGGCATGTTCGATAATTTTCCAAACTTTGCTCCCAGCGGCGTGGCACATTTTGACAAAAACTTGCCTCCTGTAACTCCGGCGGATTTGAGAACTTTGAGACAAGTATAATATCTTTTTAAGTTATGGCTCATGGTTTTGTCATTTTTAGTTTCAATTTGAACTGTTATCATTTCAGAAGTATCATAATTTGTTATTTAGGCTGTTCCGTGTCTAGCAAATTTGCTAAAAGTGACAGATCCCTTCATTTATCAGCGACTTTCTGTCAGAGATCCACGAATTGTATCAGGTTCACAAATGACTCCTCCACTTTTAAAAAGAGAAGAATCATTCTATACTACTGATGCTACAATTAATGTTGCAAATTTGAACAAAAATTTCCCATCTACGCAATGGTTGAGGTAATTACGTCGTTCATTCAACGATAAAAAATTATTTGTTTTTTTCTTTTTTTGATTTTACTGCGGTTTATTTTATCTAGCCAACATAACTCACTGCTAATAGTTTTCCATTCTTTGATGCCAGACAGTGACAAAAAATCTTAACTAAGCAGACCAGTCTCCTACGTTTTATACTAGTTGGTTAAAAACTCTACAATTATTTATCTTCTCCTTTTCTATTAGTTATGTCTACCTACTACTACCTTCAGTGGTGACGAAAATTTGGATGCTTTACCTTCAAATGCAACAATGCTAGCTAAATCACCACCCTCACGATTTGGGTCAACGTTAAGTTTGGATATGGTGGAAGAATCTCCTGCAAAGCCACTTAATTCATTTGCATCCCTTTTTGATGCCTCACATCATGAGGTATTGCTTTTAAAATTCATGTATCAAAAATTCATGAGGAAAATAGTATAGTATTGTGCAGCAATAATATTTATGTTTGCAGCATCTCTCTTTTCATGCTACCTTTAATGATTAGTCTGACTGCTCCTGTAGTCTCTTTTTTTTTTTTTTTTTTTGTTCATTTTTTCAGTAAAAATGTTGTATTGGATACATGGAAACAGAAAAACTAAAGCAGAACTTCTGCCTGTGTTCATATTACTCATTAATTTTAATAGAAAGAGAATTCTATGCATCGACTAGTGATAGATCACTGGTTACCATATAATTTTCCAAGAATAAAGTAAGGTTGACAGTGACAACGATAGTAATGTTACTAGTCAAAACAGCATGAGATCGTCGTTCTCGCCATGCGACATCGTCGCTTCATCTTAACTGCACAATTACTTTTATTTATTTTCTCATGCTTTAGTGATCTCTTTCCTTTGTTTCTGAAACTGTTGCTGAATTGGCATAAAGCTGCTAAGTAGCGTCTCATTCGGTTCTTACCGTATTTAAGGAAGGGGTGTATACGGATTTTATATCTCCAATGGTAGTTCCTAAGCCTTTACAGCAATTTTAAAGTTTAACTTTACGTTTGATATTTCCAGTTTTCGAAAACAGAGTTGTCTTGCAGGATTTGATGACTTTGATATAGGGTTACTATGTTGGTAGAATTGTTTTATTTATTCCGATTCGCAAGTTTCAGATTGTGGAAACTGAGGTCAAGAATGGAAGTAAAACGTATTCGAGCTCAAGTGTTACACAAAGTGAACCGATCGCTATACCTCAGAGTAATGCATCTGTTATTGAGGTTGTTGCGCCATTAGTCGAAGAAGAAAATTCAGTGAAAGTAAATGTTTATCATATGAATAGCTCTTTTTCTATTGCATTTTCCGTGTAATAGACTGTTATGCAGTGAGGCACTTTATTTTTAATTCACTCCAATGTCATTTATAGAAAATATTTAGGCTATTTAATAACTATAGGATTTTTATTACAGCCGAAGTCAGATAAGTCCAGTCAATTTGGCACGCCTGAGGATCATACCAGTTACGAGCAGAGGGTAAGCTTATTGTGATATTATGTTATTTTGGCTCATATTTCCAAGTATTTCAAATTCCAGTAATTTTATTTGTTTCAAAAGCTGCATTCTTTAATCATTATTTCATCGCCAATTTATATAACAATCATGGCGTGAGATATTATATACAAGAAATTTTCATTGCAGATTGCGAAAGTTTTTGAAAGATCTCAATGTGGAAGTCTGATTTGTTTACAGAATGGATTGAAAAAGCTTTCGCTGGTTAGCTTCTTACACATTTTTCTGTTTTGGATAAGATTGTATAGCATCGTAATAGCTTTCTTATGTTTATTTCATATAATAATTTTAGCAGCTGATGTATTTAAAGCAGGATTTTGTTCTTGCTGAAAATCAAACCAAAGAATACTCTGATGAGGCATTGAAGCGAATAAACAACTCTTTAATTACGTTTGTTGGATACAGAAACATAGTTCCTGTCTCTGATCAGGCCAGTAAGCCTGTTTGCAAGGACGTCGCTACTGAAACTGAGACAGGGCTTAAGCTGGAACAGTCATTCTCAATGGTATCTTATACTTTTAATTTGTGGAATGAGCTAAAACATAATCTGTTTCGTGAGGTTGTTTGTTGTGGACAGTCATTTTTAGTCTTTTTTTTAAAAAAAAAGTATTCGTAATTAATGATATTCACAGTTTATTTTATTTAGTACAATAACGATCCATCCATTTTTTAGGATGATGCTGACGAATTATCGGGAAAAGATGTCCTTGTTTTTGAACTCCGGCAAGTGATTGAACTTCAGAAGAAAGAAATTTCACGACTTCGTGAACAGCAATTAAGTGCGGAAAATACTGTTGCTAAGTACGCTCTCTATCCCGCATATGTATTATGATTCGTTCTTTATTGCTATCAGAAAACTTTTTCAGTTTCATTTATTTTGATTTTATCTTTTCCATGGTCTCACACTTATGAAAACCTGCTGAACTTTTTGTTTAATTGCATTTTCCTAGCGTTTTATGAAATTCTCACTCGACTTTGTAGAATGGAAATCGAAAGAAACCAAATGTATAAAATTTTAATTGCTGACCACGAGTTGGCTCTGGAACGTAAATTTTCGTCCCACAGTGAAGAAATAAAGGTTTGTATAATTTGCATTATATTATGGTCAGTGAATCTACTCAAAGTTTGAGATTAATGAGTTTTGAAATTCATTGCTGGTTTATTTTACATAGAAATTTTGTTTATGCTTTCGTTGTAGAGAAAGAATGAGGAAATTGATTCACTGAAAACAACCTTACATAAACTTCATGAAAGCGTTGTTTACCATGTTGAAAATGCCGCTGGCACAATTGCGAACGAAGAAACTGAAGTTAGTTGCGGAAAGGAATGCAAGGTTATGCACTTTTCTAAAAATTGTAAGAATGATCATTTGTTTCCCTTAATTTAAATCACTTAGATTCATTTGGATACGGGTAATGGTTTCTGATTAAATGAAGATTTCGGAATGTGAGTATGCAGCTTCTAGTACTTTTCCGCTTTTGTGCAGTTTTTTGCAGGATAAAAAAAAAGTATTATTTGAGATTGCTATCGTAAAATCCAGATAAGGAAAATGTTGGTCTTTCTGTATATGGAAAGACGTGAAGTTGTGATAAATTTTGGACAATTCTATAAATAAAGAATCTGAAATTTTCAGGAAAAATACACAACTGCTTACGAAAACTCTTTGCTTGGTAGAGTGCCAGTTGAAATGAAAGAGAGTTGTTCGGTTGCGTAAGTTCATTTATACTTTTATATTTTGTTTGGAAATTTGGTTATCTTTAAAGGGGAATAAAATTGTTTCATTACAGGTCTAAGTTAATTGATTCGCAAGACGATGGTGCTGTTAGTGTACTTAATGACCTTTCTTCCAAAAGATATCCATTGAAGTCTTTTACTGTTAGTCGTGGTATGATTTTTCTGAGATCTTTGCACCAATTATGTATTTGAAAATTTGTAAATCAAAACTTATGTTGATTATACCAGGTTTGCATGTATATCAGTTCTGTTACAAATGAAATTTGAAATTTATTTTTGTAGTGGACTTTAATATGGGTTCGCGGTTATATTCATAAATTTATTTGGTGATTACGCTTTTAGTCATATAGGAAGATGGCAGTTAGCCTATTAATTACATAGCTTAGAGCAGTCCCTAAAGATTCCCTGTTTCCATCGAATGTTTATTTTTATTTTATTTTTTTTCTTTCATTTTATCCGTTATTCATACTGCTTTGTGCTAAAATGTTGTAATTGCATATATAAATAGATATTCCCACTATTAATTTTAGCAGCTATAAATATGACACAATCCTCAAAAGTGAAGAGTGAAGAAAAAGATTCGGAAAGAAATGAAAACACAGATGATGACCTGAGGGTTCAGGTAAGATACCGATAAGCTCTTAATTCCTTTTTGATTCTGTAAATCAGAAGCAGAGAAGTATAGTTGAAATACTCCTGTTTGTTTCTTTAAAGGCATGTTCTTTATGGGTGTCTTCGATTGATATTTTTCAGGCAGATTCGGACGAAGATATTGCACCAGTTACGGTGAGACCAGCTACTGCTCAAACAGTTATATCATTACGAGAAATGCGAACAATGATTACAGTACAGGACATTCATGAGTACTGTGCTGTTTTGATTGTTTGGAGTGAACCACATAACGCCTATATATTGTTTAGGCTAGTTTTCTTATACCAATTTTACTAGTTTATTATTATTTTATTAGTTTTCTTATATAATTTTATTGTATGAATTTATACATTTATGTGAAAAGGGGCGACCCATTATTTAGTATAAAGTAGTTATACATCACACTTTATGTGTATTGCCTGTCCTCTTAGATGTTATTAAAAAGCAGAGTTCAGCACAGTGATAAAACACTAATGTTTTTATTGTGATTTGACATCAATAAATTGTGTGAGTAATTGGAATTCTTTATATATTTGGAAAAGATGCATATCTCAGGTTTTAAGACAGTATATTTTTATTTGCAGTTATAACAGGAGAATTCTTCTAGCTAAATACTGCCGGTCGACCTAATTAATAACCAAAATTTAGATTTTCGGCTTAATGTTCTTGATATTGTTGAAATCTATTATGTAGTCAAGTCATATAATCTATCGTGGGTTGCTTCCTTTAAATTTCACCTTTTTAAAAGCAATAATCTGATAACGTTTCTTTTTGTGGCGTATTTGGTGTTGGTTTTTATTTCCTTGTCATTAAGTCACACATTTGGCACTCAGTTATTTCTCGTCGATATTTGATCTTCGGCTATACTTCCTTTCTCAATTTTATTACTGGTCATATCTTGCTTTCTATATTTCAAATTATAATTTCCCCTTTTTGGTTTCAACTGGATATGACATAAATCAGATATATCTTATAATGACACCATCCATAAGACGTCCAAATTTTTTCTTTTTATCAGCCGGACTAAATATCGACATATCGCATCTTCGCAATCTGATTAAAGTTCTTATGATCGTATTTCATCCTTCTGTTATTACACTACAGTAATTCTACAAATGTAAAACTCTATTGATTCATTTGATAACTATTTGTATTTGTGTTGACAAAGTGCTTCGTAAAATATGTTCTTAAAATCTTAATTAGATTTGTGTTTGCATGCATGAAAGTTGCTTGCAGATCAAAACATGTTTCAGTGTTTCACCAATATTTCACTTTGTCAAAGAAAGCAGTTTGAAACGCATGGGGGTAAAATGGGACCGACAGTCAGTAGCCGCCGCTACAGTTGGTCAACGTCCTAACTGGCTAATGGCAGTAACTACCCGTCTAGAATTATGCAAAATACGTAAAACAGACAATCGGTAAGTGCATATTATCGTTTTCGTTGCGTAGTGTTATCATCTTCAAGATTTGCTAAGGGCGATGCATCAGTTAATTTCATTTTTTAGTTACAATTTGAAAGTCGGGACGAAATTTTACCGGGTGGAGGTAGAACCACTGCAAATAGACTCATCGAGTATTCGACGACAGGCTGATGAGTAGTGAAACTCTTTTGTTGTTATCATACGAATAGAAAACCTGCGGGTAAAATTTATTTCTTTAAAGATTTTTTTTTTTTAAATATTATCCGTCTGGTTTACAATTTAGCTGCCGTATTGGCGACCTTTTCTTGGTCTTTGCAATTCTTTTCTTTTTTTCAATGTCTGCATGTATTTGATAGCCAGTAAATATTATAATATCCTTATTAAAAATGTTTCCATGTCTTGCTTTCAATGAATTGATTTCATTGCATCTAAATCTTTCGTACTAAAATTGCATTTGCGCCAATGACGATATAAAATAATTGTTCTGTTTCATTATTCCTCTTAATGTATCCATCGCGAATCAACTCAAAATGAGTGCTTAAGAAATTTGATGGGTGTTTTTGGAATGAGCAAACAGGTAGGAGTATAGAAATCTCGATTTATCGTGTATATGTTTTTCAGATGCTCAATTTACAGCTGTTTGAATGTTTTATCTCACGTCCTTCCTCAAATTATAGTTTTACGTGTATGATTTTAAAATACAGGATTTATGGAAAAGTATCGTGAATTGCATTTTTGGAAATGTATCCGTTAATAATGGATATCTCAGGCTCAAAATGTTTCTGTTGTGTCCAGACTATAATAGTAAACTTTGCCATATAGTTCAATAAATCTCTATTTTTGAACCAATGCATTAATCGAGTCGTACATTGACACACGTGTAGAAGGCATCAGGAACATTCAAATAATTTAGGTCATAAATTGAATATATTAGAGACGAAGTTCGTAGCATTTGCAGCGGTGATTTTTACCACTAACACGTTTTACATTTTAACACGTAAAAGAAATTTCTCAACATCATTATATTGAACTTGCTTGGGACACAGTCCTTCTGGTTTTCCGAGGTATCAAACCCGCTGTTGGGAAAATCTTCAGCAGTTTTGCCGATATTATCGCATTCAGTTTGAATAGAATGGAAGATAACAGAAATTGGTAGAAATGGACGACTAATGAGTCCCAGGAAATATCCGCTTTTTGGAAGGCTCAATACAACGGCGATTAACATGCCTTCACGTGAGCGACAGAATTGTATTATTAGCGACATTAAAAAAGATCGAGGTTCAGTACACGGGAACTTTATTAACTGACACAGCGTAAGTTCAGTTCTTGCTATAGTAGTCCCAGTTGTCACTTTCAGTAGAGAATATAGTGTATTTATTAGTGCATTTCTTCGTTTATACTTTCGTTTTTGTTTCCTTTGTTCAAATTTTATTTTTCTTTTATATCCTTTTTTCCACTTTGAGTGCTTCCAACCAATGATTTAAATTGTTTAAATAGCGTACAGGGTTATTTTACCACTTAGCAATTAAAACTATGCACAGAGAAAAGTAATGAGTCGTCTAAACTATATGTAAACCTTATCTTGTGAGTACAGTGCGTTCTGCGTACATCTTCATGAAACCAGTCACAAGTTTTAGAAATGGTAACCACTTGCAAAAATCTTAACATTTTTAAGCATGAACATAGGTATTGCATATACAAATCTAAACTGCTTCCTTTTATTCTGACAAAAATTTGTTCGTGGGGACTACTGATTTTTAGACATGTGAAATATTTATGTACTTAGTGTAATAATATACGATAAATACAAGAATATAAATTTATTTCTGAATTTCTAGATTCAGAAAGGTATAGTCGTAAGCCTGGCAGTGTCGGTGATGGCATGAATGAATTTTAAGGAAATCATTCTTCTAGCTCTACATAGTCGTAGTTATGTTGGGGCTTCCGTCACCAGGAAGTCCGAAATTTGAAAATGGCAACATCTGGGCACTGTAGGAACAGCTTTTTTTTAAAGTCGATTTAACGTACAACTAGTTATTTTCCACTGAGAAGATACTCCAGAATAGTTTTAATTTTAACAAATCCTGAACAATAAAAACTTGTAAAGATTTGTTTTCGCAGCATTTTAGTTTAGATATTTTTATTGAAGCTACCACGCAACATACGGAGAAAAGTGATGCGGAACTAACGGTTGGCTAAAGCATGCTCGATAGGATTGCTACTTGAATTAAAATAGCACATACGATGAGTGAATATAGTAGTGAAGGTATACACTGCTGACAAAATCCATATACGATTGCCTGAAAATCAGATATATGTGTAACACAAAACTTTCTTAAATGTCCTTCCTTTTTTTGTCAAACAATTTCATTATACAAATTTGCAAATCACTATGTAAAAACTAACTACGACGTAATAGGATGACCACAGAATGGCAAAATATCCAACAATAAAGGTAATTGTTCTAAATGTTTTACGAGCTCTTCGTTTAGCTTTTGTTTGCTTACTTTCCATCGAAGGGTGAAAAACTTTTATCGCATAATTTTATCTCTTTTAGTATTCAATTTCAGAAAAGACGGTAATTTATGTGATGATCTGGACTGCATTTCTTAATGTTTTCAACAATACAGGAAAGATAAGGAATCGATGATCATTGTGTTAATTTGTTGTTGGAATTGTTTTCTAATGTAACACTGGAAATGTGTTTCATTTTTTTTATAGAACCTTTTCACTATTTTAATCTTCCACTTTTTTTTTGTATTTTTTCGATTCTGATTAGAATTAGATAAACAAGAGTTATAGGCAGTTTTACTTCTTGTTAAAAAACTTCAAAATGAATGTAGCATCTATATATTATACTGAAATATATAACATTGGTACTAAACATCGTTGAAGTTAAAAAAAAAAAAAAAAACTTTGTTTTGAATTGTTCTCATGGCTGGGGGTACTTCTGTGTCGAGTCAGAACTGGAAGTTTCAGCAAACTGAATTATCGACTCTTTTGAAATTGAAATTTCCAGCAATGATATACTGGAAATACTTTTCCACATTCACTACCACTTTTTTGCCAGCATTAGATTTGCTGAGAGATGCAATGGCAAGACATTAAGAGGATAACAAAATAATTTCTTGGAGATAAATATGACAGGTAAATTCATACTTTAATATAAAATAATTTATATTGGAAGTTCTTTTTTCCTTTTTTTTTTTTTTTTTTTTTTAAAGTAGCGAAATATTTGAAAAGAATGAACGTCATATAATATGTCTTAAATAGTAATTATCCGGTTCATTTGTTTATCATTTGAAATATCACTCGAACTTATTTACGTAGAAAATATTGAGGGAGATTTTGATTTGTGATATCCATTTCATTGCAAATCTTTTAATAACAAGCGTGATAATTGCATGAAGTTTTCTTATTTTAAAAATTAAGTTATAATTGATTCACTCGTTACATGACTGATAATGATAGTAATATGTTCATGGTAACAGATCAATATACTGAGCATTCACATACGGTAAGTATTTGGCTATTTGTGTTACTGTGAAAAAGCATAAAAGTTTTTAAAATTTATTAAAAAATAGATTCAACTTTGAAGCACAACCTGATTGAACTGTTCGGCGGCATAGACCAATGAAATAGTCAATGTATGAATACATGATGGATACCAGAAACACTTGCGACTATCGCAGTATTATCAAAAGTGATTATAGCAGCACTTCCATCACTCATTGTTATGTTTACGTTGTCAACATTTTTAAGTTTATATTTTTCAGTGTCATCCTATAATTATTATGATCAGCATTTGTACTTCTTATTTATCCGGAATACCCATAAATAGAGAAATTCAGGAGATCTCAACTTAGAAGTGTCTGTGGAATCACAGTTGAGAGAACTATAGATATTCATTAAAAATATTTGTAAGGAACAGCAAAAAAGAAAGGCATTTACTATTTCGCTGCCATTTTAACCACTTATTCTAACTTATTCTGCAGCCAGTATAACGTATAATTACTACTTTTAACAAATCTTTCCCTTTATTCATCTTTCACTTCATTTCATTTCACGATTGAAACATTCTGCTACAAATAAATATTTCAAATCTGACAATATGTTTTAATTCACTTTCCAGATTGCAGACTGTTTTTTTTCGTTGCTCAAGGCTATTTATCTCTCTAAGAAAATCATTTTAATAGACAGCTGTGAGTATTAATTAATATTTTTATCAAAAAACCCTAGAAATAATTATAAACTGAAAACTGAATTTCTCAAAATCTGCTATGTCCTAAATTCTTAGGCAACTTTATTAAACTCGACTTTTTTCTATAAATGAATTATTTGTTATTGATATTAATCATGAAATTATTATTAATATTAACTCAGAAAAAAAAGGAAAAAAGTTAAATGACAATTAACTGCAAGACATCTATGTCATAAGGTTTTTGAAGTTGTAATCTAAGTGTTGCAGACGAGCTATCAATTGATTCTGAATGTTACAAATTCAGATCCTTGAAGAGTCCATTTCCCAAACTGTAGAAAAGAAGAAATCCTTTCTTTGTAGATGAGGGAAGAAAATAAATACTAAGTCCACTTCCCTACCGTAAAATCTGTTTACTACAAAGAATCCTCTCGAAGCAGTGACATTCTTACATGAAAATGCATAGATCTAACGTTTTTTGCTTATAAACAACTTTACAACCATCTCATATATGTGCAAATTGTTTGGTTAAAAAGTCTCAGTTAGGTTGTATTTTTGCCATATTTCTATTTTATATTTTATCGTACTTAACTGAGTAACAAAATTAAAAGTTCCATGATGTTCGACCAATATTAATTGCTGCACATTCTAAATTCGTTCTAATCGTCTTTGGAGAAATTACAAGAATGTTTGATTAATTATAATTTTTCAAGTTATGATTATTTCTTAATTTTTTTAAAATCAGCTCTAAGTTGGGTCACATTTGCAATAATAATTACGACAATTCGCTTTCTCTAGACTAATACTGTAACATTTGTCATAAACGTACGATAACCAATGTTTTTTGCAGCATCTTCAACAATGAAAATATTTTTGTCACTAATATTCTTATTGTCTTTATTATGTGGTTGCGAAAAGCATCAATTTAAGATCTATGTCATCACTTTGTTACTTCATTAGTTTTTTTTTCTCTAAATATAAATTAATATGCTCATTTTTACACAACTTGATTGATATAAGGGTCCACCTGAGTCTCAAGTTGTTGACTGAATAACAAAGCTAACTGATGTCGGTCCTTGGCACCGCTCTTTTTTCAAGTTTTTTGGTAACTTTGTGAATTCCCTGAAAATAACGGATAGTACTTTAAGAGACTCTTAGCCCTTTATAAATAATCAAAATGTGCCTCATATTCACGAATGTGAATAGAAGAAATTGAGTGAGAATTGAAAAGGTTCAGGGAAGAAAACACTGAATCACTGCTGGTACAATATTTAATAAGTTCATGTATTTAATAAGATTAATGTATTTAGTTATATCTAATAAGATTGATATATTTAATACAATATATTTAAGAATATTTAATAAGGTTATTTCAAGCACTAAAATAACGATGTGTATAATTAGGAAACATATAAATTACTTTATAAGGAATGAGCATTGCAGTCATTGCAATCAAACCACATACAAACCCATATTAACATATGGATTGGTGAGAAACGGAACGGCACATTCATCTTTGGTAACTCTTTAACGACATATACTGTACGGAAAGTGATTGAACGAATCGCAAAATAAATCCAACAAATTGCAGAGAAAAAAAATCAATCAAAGTAACAGATCTCCGATGACTAAATTCAATGACTAAATTCAAAAATTCAATGACAAAAAATTAAAAAAAATGACTAAATTCAAAAAGAAGAATGAGGAAAACTAATTAAAATTACTCGGTCTTAGCACTGGAAACCAGTGACCAATCGTAAATCATAAAGCCAAATATAAGGGCAGGAATAAGCCAAGAACAGATAATTGTTATTTGCACTTTTGTTGATGACTGCCACTTGAGGTATGACAGGGATAAGCAACGGTCAACTGTTATTAGCAACGGTATGGATACAAGGTAAAGTGTATAATCAAGGAAAAGCCATATTTCACATGCCATCTATCCGAGCGACCAGTGGTCACTTGTAAACAATTTAAAATGAATATTCCCGATAATTTGCAGATTTTAAAATAGCGTTAACTTTACATTATTTATTTATGTCTAACTAAAGGAACTGTAATATTTAGCTCTGAGTTACATTGTCATAAAGAAAAATAAGAGACTGAGTGTTTGAGTACTTATTGTACTTAATAAATAATTTTAACGAAGTTAATCACACATTTCCAGAATATTATATAAATGAAAACTTTTGCAACAAAACATGTCTACCATTCAAAACATGAAGTAAATAGTAGATAACCTTCAATACCAATAATTAGGTCCGATACGGCCAATGATGCTATGAAATGGTTGCTTATCTAAAAATAATCCCTGCCTCAAATACGGTTTTAGTCCGTCAATAAAACAATGAAGAAACAAAATACTGTCCAATTTCTTCAGAAGGCTAACACTATATTTTCTCGGTAGTCTATTAATTTGGGTATACACCAGGTACTACTGAAACTGTAAAACATTAAAATCCAATTTTTTTTCGATAAGTATGTGGTAAAAGATTGCAGAAAAAACCATTATATGTATTCGGAATTTACTTAGCATGAAAATATATAACATGAAAATCTTTTCTCAAAAATCTGTGAGTGAGAACTGAATTATCCGCTATCCATAAGATTCCATTTTAAGTAAAACACAATTTGTCAAGCTTCGTAAGTAAAAAAGCTTCTCACTTCTTCGATTTTCCGTTTTTCACAAAATTCTTCTTTTGCGTTCTGCTACTTTCATTAACCAACGCAGATTTTTTGGAAATATGTACTACTTCAATTCATATTTTTGCAGCAAGTAAACTTCACGCTTCACTGTCAACTATGACAAGCAGCTGCAAAACTGTGGTTTCACTATCATTTTGTATTAGGAAATATTTACTTTAGAAGATGAAGAAATACGGAAGTTCATTGCATTAACATTGCAACTCAAACCTGCATTTGCTCCTTTCTTTCTTCCAAACCAATTTTTGATACAGTTATTCTTGTCAAAGTTTTTTTTAATCCTACTGTATAATGATCGACAATATCTGGAAGATCCTGTAAAATATTTTCCCAGCGATGGCTACTAAAATCAGCTTGAGGCATAACAAAAATAAACTCATACAAACACGTCCCTAAAAAATAAATTTTGTCAAAAAAGTCCGTTCATACTCCTACAAAAAAACAATTTTTAATTTTCCGTGAAATATTAAGATACTGAGGAGGTCATAAACATAAAACCTCCTTCACGTCATTATTGGAATGCACAAGCCGAAGGTCATCTAAAAAATGAGAAAAGATTAAATGACACTTCACTCTGATATATATATATCAATGATATTCAGTTGCACATCCTCTCTTTTGTTCCAATTACTTTTGTGTTTAACCTACCGTTTGCTTTAATTACGTTGTCACCCAATAAGTGATAACAAATCACACATCACATTGTGAAAAATATATTTGTAAGCGCTAAATTGTTTTGCTTCCCTTTTTCCCCCGCTGGAGCTCTGAAACGGGAGTTCTTCGCACATCTGCGCACTGCCATCCACTTTTTCTTGCAGGCTTTCTGAAATGAATGAAAGTGTTGGATTATATATGTTTAAATATAGGAAATTATATATGTTTAAATATAGCCTATAATAAAGAAATAATTTCTCTTGTACCTTTTCCCCTTTTTCAAGAAAAAAACTTTCATTTACCTTTCTTTGATTACATTCTCAGATCCTTTGCATATGGTGGGCTTCATTATAATACTCTTAGCAGACGGATCAACTTTTATTGCTTTCAGACAAGTTTTTGCCTTTCCCTTCATTTTTGCACAAAATCGTTTTACTAAAAAATAAAGAACATCGTGAAAAAAAAATGAAACAGAATGCATAAAGCCATCAAAATAGCCTGACAGATCAGATTAAAAAAAATCTTTGTGTGATTAGTAATTAATTAAGCAGTTTCTATGTTATTCAATAATACGAGTATATATGAAATCACACCTGTACAAATCAGATGACAATTATCAATAAAGTAAAGAATCCTTCAAGCAAGCAATCTAAACAAAAGATTTGATTTTAAATTCCACTTTCCAGAACCATTTGTCAGTCCTTATTCATATTCAATGCAAGATTCCCAATGGTTGATACACTTGTATATCTCAAGTGTGTAATTAAAGTTAACTTGAAATAAGTTACTTACAATAAAGCGCATATACGTAGTGAACTTCATGAACAGCATAGTTCATTTTCAGTGTTAAACGCACGGTAATTTGAAGGATAACAAATAAAGTCATCTTAGTTTTCTTGACAGTCATGAAGAAGCTCATTCCTACCAATAGTTGGAAATAGCTTAATGAGGAAAATTGGAAGGCTGGGATTGGAAGATCTAATCAACACATAGGAACAATTAAGCATCCTCCAGCACACAGATTTCAGAACACGTAAAATCTCCATGAGACGCAATGAAAGTTTTAGGTTAATCCAGGAAACTCAGCCCTATTAGTCCTCAAAAATGGTGCAGATGCTAGCTACTGAACGATTTACACAATAAGAATATAGGTAGTTCGATGTCCCACCCAGAATTTTCTCGCCATCCCAGGATTTAAGCAATGTCTTTCTGAGATCATTGTCTCTTTGAAGTACAAAAAACAGTATTTGCAATGCTATTTAATTTCTACAGGTTCAATAGATAACAGTACGGGAACATATTTTCGTCGTAAATATCAAAAAGAATAAAAATTTAAGAGATGAAAATGAGGTGAAAATAACTCTTTAAAACATCAAATCATAAAAATGCTTATAAAAGTTATAATTACAAAAGTTACGTTAAAAAAGAAAAGAGAACAGAGCATCCAACAATATTGCGAACTGTTAACAACAGAAAAAATATCGTCGCGACCTCTTTACAGTATTTCCACTGATGCTGCAAAGACATAAGTGGTGAAACCAGCGAATAACACAATTATTTGTAATTAATAAATTCATATCTTGATATTCAGTTATATCAAGCTAAGCTTTATTCCAAAGCAAACATGGTAATTTCTTTGAAAAAAAATATGCCAAATTACAGCAACGTAAAATCCATCCACTTCTCCGATACACTCTGTTATTTTCGCTAAATGCAGACACAATCATAGAATCAGGAGAAAGTGATGACACCCTCTACGCTGTTTTAGATATCATTTCTTCTTTCGACTCACAAACATTTTGGAACGTGCCTCTTCCATTTTAATGTTAACCAAAACCGATTGTTCTTTCTGAGAATATCACTATTACTTTCATTTGTTTCAGAAATTCCAAATATACTGACCTACAGACTTCGTTAATAATTGGAATATTGATATTAGGCAGTCAAAGAAGATCGGGGAAAAAAAGTTGAATCAACACTTATATTTAAGCGGAAACACAGACAGAATACCAACGCGTAATAACTAAACAAAGTAAACGAAACTATTCAACGGTCTACAACATAAGCCTTCTTAATCGATGTAAAAACTTGTTTGCATTGCAATTCAATCAGAAAAAGAGATATGATGTCCCAAATAAAAAAAACTGGTGTAAAACTGGTGTATAATGGCACTATTTCTTACCCGTGAACAGTATTCTCCAGTATTTTTTACTGAGAATACTTCGGAAATAACACATGAGGATAACTGCATAATTTAAGTCATATCGTGCACATCAGGTATGCATTTTATTTACTATTGTTACACAGTATGTTCACAAATATCCAACTTTTAAGGATCTTATATCAAAATATGAAATTACTTATAAATTATAACAACTTGTGCAAGGGAGTAATGAGAAGTGTTTCCAGGTAGTACATATTTTGGGAATAATTGATGAATGTAGCAGATTTGAGTTTCACCCATTGAAACAACATATGCTGAAATAAATTATGACTGAGAAGGAAATTCATGACATCTGAAATACATCACCTTATAGCCTACTGGACAATAAACAGTTTTCCTTCAGTATTATTTGTGAATCACAGAAAACTCCAACATACATAAAGCAAGAAGATGAAGCTGTGAACCAGTAGAACTGCTAAATAACAGGTACTACAAAAAACAGCAAGACCATTGCATTTAAGGAACTCATTCCATAACCAGATAATAAGTCAAAAAGCGTCTACGGTATCCTAACGTTACATATGAGTAACTGAAGTAATGATATGAGCTCTCACCAGGAAAAAAAGCTTTCAAAGCAAAATTTCACATATATATTTCACAGTAGCATAACCTTTGCAGCATGCTTCAGTTGTTAATATGATGCAGAAAACAAATCTCAGGATATTGCTGCGAAATAAAGGACTATTCGAGTGTCTTTTCAAAAAGTTCAATTTAGCAGCTCACCTCATCAGTGACTTTTATATTCTACCATATCATTCAGGAGAACTAAGAGCATCTTTTCTAACACGACATTTCATTGTTCATTAATAACTAAAGTCTTAATATTAATGACAAAATAAGATATAGGCAGAGCTCGTCTGCAGCTGCTACATATGTAATTCGAACTATCTACTGAATTAGACAACAAGGGCTTTGTTAGTTTTTAATCGTCCGTCTTATTCTTATAGGAATGCAAAACTATATAAGCACTGAAGTTTTATTAGTGAATATAATTTACAATGCGACAACATCTGCCCAACGATTCTAAACTGAAAATACGAAGATGTCACGAAAAGTAAGTATGGAATAGTGAAGTAAAACGTGTAATTTTGATGGAGACGTATATTATTTCTACAGACAAATAAATACCCACAATTCTTTCATATTCAAGAAATCGTTACTTCTAATATATCTCCATCCAACCTTAACGTAGCACACCAGATTTATCTTCTCGGTGCGTTTTAAACATAATACTCTTCATTTTCATTTTGTCTGCGTCTGCATGGATCAGATAATCCACTGTTTGCATATTTTCGTGGCATCAGAGGATAAGAAACCGAATTATGAAATGCAGGGACAGAAGTGTTGGTCCAGTACTGTACAGCCTGAAGATTGTCAATCACCCATACAATTTACATTCACGACACCTATATTTTCACATACTATACAACATCAAAATAGAGATACTCTGTTCATTTTAAGAAAGTAGAAGGCTTACCTGCTGAGTGCCCTGCTTAGGTCGAACCGAAATTTGTTTGTTAAAAAGCTCAATTCGATCAAGCATTTCACATGCAAATGGGACACTCACTTCATGCCTGAATACGATCAATGCATAACGATGTGTTGCACTACAGTCACGACTACTGCTCGTACGCAAAATGATTGTGTCGAGTGGCCCCACCTTAAAAATAGCTTTTTTACAATTAATTTTAGGATTAATATCGATCAAATCAGTACACAATGACAGCTCCAACATGTCACATAATCTGATTCCGCATAATTAATAAATAGTAAAAGTTACAAACATACCTGACAGAACAGCTCCTTCAAAAGTCCCTCCGTGATGTTTTCATGAAGGCTGCACACATAGCAAGTTCGTTCACTTGGATCATCCATCTTCTCAACACGTGCTGTATATTACATACACGCAATAAAAACAGCTAAACAAGTAGATAATTAGATAAACATTCAACTACATGTGTAGAATGGGGGAAACACCGCGTCAGCAAGGAGTTTTGTCCTGGAAGGTATGTTGTTTATGCTCGAGCTTTCTTGAACATTTCATTGTAGTGTATTTATAGGAAATATAGTTGTGTTGGCGCTAATCTTATGTCAACAGCTTTCAAGAAGGGATTTAACCCTACCTTGCCACATTACGTCTAAGCCTTGGATAACATCTCCCCATAAGGTAAACTGCATGTCTGATGTCTGATGCTCATATGACCGCTGTTGAAACACTTTAGTAAGGATTCTCAAGAACACAGCTAAATGTCCAATCACACATTAATTTACCGCAATATCCACAACACTTAGTGGGCGTGTTACGATACTCGTAATCATTATGAATGCATATGATAATCAGTCAAAACACCACAGCTTTTCCAATATGCGCGGTTTATCCTTCTGCTTACAAACAGAAAAGGTACGCAGCGAATTCTGTATCACAGGTTTTAACCAAAAGCTCAAATAGACATTCGCACGGTTGTTAGAGCGGTAAAAAAAAGTATCGCTTAAAAGGAAACACTACTAACTGCTATGCAATTAACTATCTCATGACTACAGACGATTTTGCGTACGTATTGAATTAATCCTTCCTTAGTTGTTAATTCTCTTAGTTAATCTTAAATGGGAAACTTTGGTTCTGTACAAAACAACAATATTCAATGCAATGAAAAATTTACTGAGAAAACAATGTAAGGAAACATAAATTGATTAGGAAGCTACAACATTACAATTTTTTTTAAAAGTCTTAGTACACAGCCACTTACAGCAGGATGACAATGAAAAGAACAAGTTAATGAATTGTAAAAATACATATGGTGCGTTATATCCTGAAATGAACAAAGCACAAACGTACACATATACAAAGAAAATACAAGCACTTTGTTTCACACACCAATTTAGAAGCAAAATTCATGAAGACAAACTTACATCATCAATAGAGCTGTTACAAATGATAGCTAACGGTATTAACGAAAAACGACAAATTACTACGTATTTACGTTAAAACATTTCACAACTATTACAAAATCGAAAGCACACACAGATATTGTGTAATGCCACCATTATTATAAAACATGAACAAAGAAGACACTGCTATGCAAGTCATCAAAACTTGGAAGAAAAAATCGCAGATAGCATTTTCCCGAACGCTTTAATATTACTTCCTGAACATCAACATTACTTCGTTATGAGTATGCTAGAGCCAGCAAATAAGTTTAAGCTGCGATTTTATACTAAAGCTACGGAAACTAATTCAGATAGGCTTCCGCACATAACACCGTACCACATAATAAATAATACGATCAGTCATTTTTTTTTGGGGAAGGGAAATTTATTTTTCAATTCATAAAGCAGAAATGATGCTTTTCACAACCTACGTTATCAAACAATATTTCATGTTTATTGCTGGGCACTTTTTTTCTTATTATTCAGGTTACAGCATGTAAAGAACGTATTTTTAGTGAACAGTCGGCACCACATGAAAAAAGACGAACTTCTGGATCAACATAGAGTTGCTGCACCCCTTGTACTACTGAAGCCACCTGACGCAAGCTGAATCCTCCTCGAGCAACATGTTCACCGTCAAGCGAAGCCACAAGGTTCGGCACAAGATCAGTATTCCAGACCTATTGCATATGTCCTTATTAATCGAATTTAAAATAAAGAGCACAGCTAAATCAAAAAATGAATATCAGAAAATCACCATCGAGAAAAAGTCGGTCAATGATTGAAAATGTTAAATGGAAAATGCACACCTTCCATATATATCAAGTACCTTTGATGAAATTCATCGTTTTTTCAAATCTGTCAAAAACTTCCTCATGAAAAATCAGTAACCTTTATATCCCCATCATTCGACCCAGCAACAATGATCTGCTGAAATGGATCGCACGCAAGACATTTGACAGAAGAATTTTCGAAACATTTCATGGTACTACGTAATCGACGTTGTCGAACATCCCATACACACAATTCTCCATGTCGTCCACCAGATACTATAGTCTAAAAATCGTTCAAATACGACTATTTTTTAAAACATATAGGCAGTTTTACCCCGGAGGAAACTATCATGAAGAATAAGTTTGTAACATACGAGCACAACTTTCCTGATATCTCCCTTTTATCCACCCTTTTTTTCATAAAATTCCACCGTCACAACCAAAGAAAAAAAAAATTGAGAACCTGACATGATGACAAATACATCACAGAAGTTGCCCCTTCAGGGTGTGCTGTCCATGAATGGATTAGTGCTTTTGACTGTGGCATAAGGGTGTCCCAAAGACTAATGTTTTCGTCTGATAAACTTAGACCAGCAGTAACCAAAACAGAAGAAGCGGAACCCAGAAATCGAACATCTGCTGCAGATTTAGAATGGCATTTCTGATTCTGAAATAATGAAAACTACTCCAGCTATATTTGATGCGCAACTGTATTATCAGCAATCAAAAAACTCACAAAAAATGGCTTCTTCACTGGCAATCCTGGAGTTGCCTGCCACAAACATAATATTCCATCGTTGTCAACAGACGCAAATTTGCTTCCATTACAGCAAAACAACACTTTCGTGACCTGTTATAAAGAAAAAGTTCTCAAAAACTCATAGCCACAATTTAAACAAATCTTTGGAACCAAAAGAAAAGGAAACAAACTTTGGCATATTGTCCAGCTATTCGAGGTGTAAAAAAAGGCTGCCCAACACCCCACTCCCATAATCGTATTGAGCCATCCGACGAGCCACTTACATCTGCAAAAGAATAACATGAAAATCTATTATCCAAAAAACCAGTGTTTCTTCCAATGCTTCAAGATTAAGTTGATGTCTACAAATAAAAAGGAAATTGTCAACACAAATGACTGACACATTACGAATAATTAAAGATATTGTGCCTTAATTTAATCCTAGTGCATGCAAATAGGATTTAATAAAATATTCAGCAGAAATAAACGTACAATAAGGCATTGTTGGATGAGAATCAAGCCGCCGTATTCCATTAACTTGTCTTTTATACATCTGCAAAAATTGGATCCAGTGATAAAAAGGCTCATCATAATAGCATAATGCTCACAATCAAATAAACAAAAATGCATGCATGTATACACGTTCAACACAAGTTGTTACCTTTTCCTAATGCAGTTTTCATATTTGCACCATATATGAAGAATTTAGTAAAAGTTGAAAAAGTCAATGACAAAATCAATATCCAACATAAACCTATGCCACACAAAATTCAAAACATTTTATAATGCACATACCTTTATCAGAGCCTTTCGGCTTCTATCAACAATAAATGGAGTCATCTGTATATCAAAAAATGAAAGTACATTATATGATTAAGTCAAATAAATGAAGGAGAATCTACAAACACAAGTTCAGCATACTTTGCTTTTGGAAAAAAAAAGAATAGCATTAACAACAAATAGAAGTGCTTACTGTATTTACGGAAGTGGTTTGTTGTCCATTTTCAGTTATTAATTGATAATCATCGTTATCCTGCAAATCTCATCATCACAATTACACAGAAATGAAGGATCATTTTCTGAAGAGCGTAGCATTTTCAAGTGTCATATTAGAAAAACTTCGATGCATAATAGTCCTGTCCGCAGTAATTTGCTTCTAAAATCCTTAAAATTTGTGATTTCGTTTCTTTTTTTTTATTGAAAGCATGGGCAGTTTCAATCGCTATCCTACCTATATAAACCACGAAAACACATCCAGTGAACGATGTCAACAGAATAAACACGACGAACAAAATGTGTTAATTTGCAAATCAAGAAATTCACAATTGAACTAGAATCTAGAATCGTAAACTATGATAAGGGATTTATGAGGAAAAACAAAATCGAGTTAACCATCAAACACTACTCATATAGACGTATACCTTAAACACATCCCTTTTTGTTCCATCAAGTGCAACATCAAGTTCTGTTCGATTAAACAACCAAGCAGAAAGCTTTAAATTTTTCGCATCGTTAAGCAACGCCGTAATATCCATTTCTTGTAATTCTCGTGTATTTGAAACTACTAACCAACCAGGTCTCACCTGCAAACAAAATAAAACAGCGCATTATCACCTCATGTAAAAACAGATAAAACACGAAGTGTAACAAAACAGTCCATAAGGAACTCATATTAGCATTAAGCATCAACACAGTATATACGAATCAGAAAACAGTCACAAATTCCTTTTATTTTATTTTAATAAAAACGAAAAATAATGAAGTCTCATGACCTTATCACTGAGTCAAGGTGTGTCTTGCTGTATTTTAAAGCAAAAGTGATAAGCTAACTGATACACCAAGAATTAATCACCAACCTCACTGCAACAAAATGCTGCTATTGGCTCATGCTCTCGCTGCACAATTTTGAACACATTTACGGCATCACTGCTTTCCAATTCGCCTACACCTTCCCGAAGAAAACTCTCGTTCTAAACATTAAAATGCAGTAAGAAAAAATACAATTCTGTAAAATCAGAAATGGTTCAGAATTTATTCAAAATTCAACAGATCAAAGTCATTACAATAATGACCTGCTGATCGGCGAAGCCAAATATATGCTTAATGAAAAGGGGCAAAATATGATCCTGACGAATCAGATAAAGCCAGATTCTTTTTACCGGCAATACGGATAGATCTGCATATTCGAAAGGTGTATTATTTGTTTCCATTAAGACAGCGTATTTATTCAGAGGTGATTCTAAAATATATTAAGTTCACTAATGCTTTCATGGAGCGACTGAATATCTTGTAAACGAACAGGAACATATTCGCAAAAATAAAATGTATCAAATATCAAGAAATTTAAAAACAAACGGAGAGATAGACATGAACTAATGAATGCATTTTCTTAGAAAGTTTTTAAATCCATAAATAATCAGTAAGCATTCATGAACTTCATTTGTTCTCCCTTGATGAATTTTGAGTAGTGTAGTAAACCTGATCTATTAAAACAGTCAAATGATGAATAACTGCACCGTTATCATCTTTTCTAATAGATAAGTCTGGAAGCAAGTCAGACGGGCATCCATCAAACATTGTACACAAGTGGTCTTCAAGTTGTTTCGCCCAATTCTCGATAAGTTTGAAGACAGCATTTGCACGAGGCGATAAGGCTGGCAGTTCTAGAAATTTTATGCTGAGATTAGCGAAGCAAAAAATGAAAAATGTTCATAAATTAACAGACTAAAGTACCTGAATATTCTAAGCCAGCAAGTTGCAAAAAGGATTTCATTCGATACAACTGCTGATGGGTCAAAGCTAGACGTAAAAGCCACCAAGCAAATCCTTCTGAATCAATGTGCTGTTTTTTGTGTAGTTCTTCTAATTCAATTACTGATTCATGATGCTCTTCGTCCGAATCATAACACTCATTTACGATTTCAGGTAAATCTGGCTAGAACAAAGCAATCACAAACAGAATTCAACAAGATAAACTCTAGATTATGCTCTGGATCTCGATTACGTCCTAGAATTCGTATAAAGTGACGAATCATTAGAAATTCTAAAAAAAAAAGCTCGAAAAAACTTTTGTTAAGATCACCGATAAAGTTACCTTTTCAGCAAAAAACTGCACCATACTTTTCTTCGGTGGTATCCACTCAAAAGAAACATGTTCTTCTAAAGATCTCGAATTATTTGCTGAAAAACCGACGGAAGATGGAATCGCTGCTTCAACTCCAATCACCTCAGTGTTGCAATTAGCTCGAAATGACGAAGAATCTGCTGAGAGATAATTTTTGTCAGGTTTTATATGAGTTTGATTGGAAGAAAAACAACTTGGCACTGTAGTCGCCCATTTAACGAGTGAGCCTAAATTGAAGTGCTATAAAACCTTTTTCTAAAGTATAAAAAAAAGATACAAAACTACTTACCAGGAGTTTTTGACGGAGCTACTTTTTGCATTTTCCCTCCACCTCCACCAAACAAAGTGCCAAATTCTTTCGCACCAATATTACGAGCTGTTAATCGCAATAACCATCTAGCATCATAAGTAGCAAGTGCATACGTGAAAAGAGATGCAAAGACCTGAAAATGTTTTGCTTTCTCATTGCATAAAGCAGTTATAGTTTATCAGTGAATTATCTTAGTAAGGAAACAGAAGCTTTCGATATTTCTGATATTGATGAAGAGTCTAAAAAAAAAAAAAAGTTTTAAATAAAACATGTAGGTAAACCTTTCTTTTGGATGGTTAAAATTAAGCACAAAAATTCTGTTCCACATTATGAAAGCTTACTGCAACGTAAGTTTCAAGCACAAGTAGTCGAAGTTGTGGAGTTTCTTCATTTTTTTCTCGGCTTAAAATAATCAGTAAATTATCCACTCCTGGCCATTTCGAAGGTAATGTCGTCACTTGCAAATCTTCGTTTGCTGCAGCTACCCCTGGTAACCTCGCCAAAACTCTGAAGAACTCACACGGGCATAAAATAATCTATTTCTTACAATGTTTTCTTGGAATATATTCCTTTTAAAATAATTCATTAAAATCTAGAGATGACCTCTAACGAGTCATCTCTGGTGACTTTGTTTCACTCTCTAGAGAGTGCAAATACATTTTGACCATACCCGTGACTGCTTTCACAAATATTACCGACATTGCAAAGTGATTGGTATAAGCATGAAGATAATCCCTGACATAAGCTATATACTTTATAGATCTGAAAATAACGACTTATGAATAAAGATTAAAAAAAAAATAAACTTAATGATGAAATTGTAGAGTACAATCGATGAAAAACTGTAGTAAGCATGGTGAATAAAGTAATGAATAGCCATTTCTTGCTGCAAGAAAAACGTCATCCTTTCATTTATATCCCTAAAGAAGTTTGCAAAAGAGAATTTCTAATTGAAAATGCCATTTTCCCGTTGAAAAGAAATAAATTGACAGTAGCACAGGAGATAAGTAAATGTTCCGTAGCCTTTTAGTCCTAGTTTCGTTTAAAAGATTTGAAAGACTAACTTTAGTCAAAGTCAAAGAGCTCTCGATTTGCGGAGGCTCAGAAAGATCGACAAGTGACAGCAAAATATCAGAACACAGCCTTTTGATAAAACTGAGTGGAGATGGAGCAAACATTTCCCATTGTGAAACTGATGCAACAAAAAGCGGAAACGAATGTGCTGGTAAAGATTCTGCAAAACCATAGATAATATCGATATTTATAAATATCTCCCAATAAAAATCATTTTATAAGACTTAATGGACGGAGTGAAAAATGTGTGAGTTAGAAGTCACAAAAAAATTACAACTGAAAAACAAAAAACCACAATAAGAACAAAACGATGCGATGCGAAAAATACAACAGAAAACAATCATTATATTTCAGTTAATTAAAAATTTACCACTAACGAAGAGCTTTGGTCCACAATCTTGCTGTACTTCCATTTGTAATAAAAGAAATTCCATCAACGCAGCAGTTAAGCGATGACTTTGCGAATTATGCAAAGTGCAGTAAGATATAAAAGTATGCACCAATTTCTGATTAGTACGTAACCACCGTCGACGATTTAATACGTGGTGACACCGAGTTGATATCTCTTCTCTATCCATATGAACAGTCTTGTGAAGTATCATACTACTACTACAAAATTTCTTTTCAAAAAATGCACATTTTCTTAAAAACCAATTTTATATCCCAGAATACGATTAAATGGTAGTAAGAGTTTATCAGAAAATAAAAAAGATACAGATTAGCTTAAATAAGCATGTTTGGAGAACATACCGGAAATGTGCAATACGAAACAACGTAAAACAATACGGGGAGAAGGCTTTACTGAAATATTAACTATTTACGGAGAAAAAAAGAATTCAAAACATTACATTACATTATCGTTGAATTCTTCATTCTCAGTAATATCAAGCTTCAAGCTATTACAGTCATTACGATAACCACATATCTTCTGCAGCACACTTACGCCTGCCTCCAACCAATTAAGTAACTAAAAAATTCAGTAAAACACCTCAAAGCTACAGTAGTTTTATGTAAAGCAAAAAGAAAGTATCAAATGGTACGAACTTTAACAATAAACATACTTGAAATCTTAGCTGTCCGCCATCTACCTCGAAAGCGCTTGCAAGAGTAGATAACTCTTCAAGAAGAAGTCGTAATGACGCAGTGAACTTCATATGCTGCGCAATGACATCTAGTGTCGCATCATTCTCACTTGCCTAAAATGGTTACTAATAATCCGGTACTGTAGTAAAATCTGAAGGCAAAATTAAAATGAATTGTAACTTTGGAAACTAAGAAAACAATGCAATGTTTTGCATAACGTACTCTATTAGAAACGTCCGAAATAACTTCTGCCATGTTTTCCTTTTGTACCACACCTTCATCTTCTGTTTTCAAGTCATTTAATTGCGCATTTAATTCAACTGCATGAGCAGATGATACTGGTACACTCCAGTCGATGGTATCTGACTGATTATCCCACGAATCATTTTCTGACAACTTTAGTCTCTAGAAAAATTTCAACTTGGATAACATGATAAAAAAATGAAAGCCAAATTAAGCAATTTTACAGCATTCATCAGATTTGCAGGAATGTCAGTGGACTTCCAGCAATAAAAAAAAACTTCCGATGAAATCGACAATTATAATGACACATGTTTAAAACATTCAATTTTCAACATATTTTTAAATATTTAAATCTTTACCTTTTGTAAATCGAAATTTCAAAAAAGTAATTTGTCCATATTAAATAAAATAAAAATAATTTTGTTATATCTCGGTATTTCCAAGTTCAATTAAAACCAGCTATGTCAAATAAAGAAATGAATGTCAAACTCTTACAACGTGTTTATTAATTTCGGGTGACAGAGATACCGATTCTACTACAGTGAGATTTTTTGGTAAGCGCGCTAATACATCAAGTGCAAGTAAGGGACATCCTGATGCCATATGAACGCTTGCAGTTCGGAAATACAATCTTCGCTCAGACGGTGTAATAACTGATGAAAGATGCTTTACAACTGCCAAGAACTTTTCAGTCGAACTTACCTATAAATAACGGCAATTTAAGAGAGAAAATTGGTTCCTTTCAGCTTATCTAGAATAAAACTGATAAAACCAATAAAAAGCGACTTTCCGTACCTGAATCCCAGCATTTATAAGCCTTTGTCGAATAACTAAGTGGTGGATGCGTATAAATGAATAGAAGTTGAATATATCTGGTAAGGAATACTCCATTGAAGCATCCAAATGAACACAACCTGCTTCATCAACCAAAGTGTTTGCTGCTCGAACGTATTCCTTTAGATGCCAGTAAGCCATTGAACGTACGAAAGGATTTCTGTCAAAAATGTATTATTAAAGCGTTATGACATATAAGCTGACCAACCAAAATTATCAAAAACAGAATTATATACATAAAGCAGTAAAACATACCGGTTCGCTCCAGGTGTGACATCAAAATCTTTTACATCCGTAATTTCCATACCGAAAATTTCTTTACAAAGCAACTCCCCAAGTAAATTACCCTGCTCTTCGCACTCTCTTTCACAAAGACGAACTATAATTATTGCAAGTTGCAAATCTTGTAGTTTCTTCAATACTATCTGAAAAAGAAAAAAAGCAAAACAAACAGAAATTAAACAAATCAAAATGTAGAAATTATTATGATCAAAAGGAAGTAATAAGAACTCAAACCTGTATGGCATCTTTAACTGATCCAGCTAATAAGAAGAATGCAGCGGCATGTTGAAATCGCTGCTTCCCCATCAGCACAAAAGCGTTCTTTAATGCTGCTTTCTTCCATCTTTCTTCATTGAAATCGTGCATGAAGAAATCCAACATTCTATTGTCCTTAACGGTCTATAAACAGAACGGTATGTGAAGGTGAGTGAAATTCATGTCTATTAAGATAGTAGCAAGGAAAACAACCTTGAACAAATGAGCTAATAGATTTTTCTTCTTCAGCAGGAGATAATAAAGGCATGCATCCAGTGGATCTTGATTCTTTTGAAAAGCTGCTTTTGCTAGCTGTAATTTGAAGAATAAGAGAAAACAAAACATACTCTTTAAAAAAAAAAAAAAAAAAAAGCCAACTTTTTCAATGATTGCACGCAGTGACGCAGTGCTTTTTAACCACCAAGCAACTCCTAAAGCTCGCAATTCTTCCCATGACAAAGTGGGTTTCTGCAGACATGGAATTGCATTCAACAATTCAGTCTCTGTTTCAGAATGCAAAGCCCAAATAATCTGCGATGGTGAAAGTCCTCTGAAATAATGAGGTCACTAAAAATTAAAATATTTAGAAAAAAGGCATTGCAACAGAAATTAGAACTATACACTTTTATTGGTTTCATTTTATCACATTTAAATCACTAAAGAAATATCAATTTTCAAACCTTGAACGAAGGCTATGCTTTTGTTGCAGCGGTAGACACAATAACAAATACTCGTGTTGTTTCATGGCCATCAAATATCTTAATCCACACTCGTCAATAGTTTCAAATCCAGCAATAGGTGTAGCATATCCACTTGTTGCATCGTTCATGATCCGCGTCTGAGTTATTTGAAAAGCTGTAAATACATATTTTATCGTACATCATTTTGCAAAATCAGAATTGTTCCCGTAAAATAAGCATAGTCACATACCTGCGTTTGCTTGCGCCGATTTATCCGTAATATCCGATGAGAAATGACTTAATGTATCCGCAACTGCCAGAAGATGCATTTGATCAACACTTGACAAACCTGAAATTACTTTTTATTCTTGAAAAGCTACGTATTAACAAGAACGTATGCAAATAAGTAGCAAAAAAATGTTTACCTGGTAAATGAGTATGGGTAAGAAATTCTGTCAATAAACGATTGTGTCTTGCGGTAAAGCTTGTTGAAACAAAAACTGCATGTGCACTATCCATAGAAAATGAGTTTTGACGTGATTTTTTCGGTTCACTATCCATATCTAATGAACCATCTAGATTGTCATCCTTAAAAGATTTATTAAAAATGAGCTGAAGGCTGTTTAAATAGTACTTATTCTATAGATTCTAGGAGAATTCCAAATCTGTATCTTATCCAGTAAGTGACAACTACAAATTACTTGTGGTATTTCAGATGTTTTCACTTTGGCCACTGAAAACGGATCACCAGCAGATAAAAGGAGATAAAGCGGTAATGGTGGAATGCCGTCAAGCTCATCATATTCCAAATTTGAGTCATCAAAGGTATCGGAAAGTCCTCGGGTTGCATCTTGTCCAGAACCTTCCATTTTCAAGTCTCCACTTGTAAGTGACATTTTACGTATTGAAGAAGCTCGTGACAACGGATTTGCTATTGAAATATGTAACTGCTGCAAATGAAAACATAAGCTATATTGTTGTGCTATAATACGACCTAATCTGAAGCATGTATATTTCATACATAAAACTGAAACATTACCTTTAAACTTTTCAGAACATGCAATAATATTGCTTTGACCACATGTGTCCTACCAGAATTAAGTAGCTCAATAAGCAACTTTGGATGATACTGCGGCAAAATGGGACTTGCCAAACGCGCAGCTTCGAATAAACCTTCTTCGCTAATAGCTTCAAGTACATGCACGTCTTTCAGAAGCAATGTTTGCAAATCATAAGGTACCGAATACATCCTTGAAAATGACAAATAATTAAGTGACTGAATAAGAAAGAGTACAACCGATGAGATGAAAAAAAAGAGAAAACCTCTGTAGCAAATCCTTGTACAGTTTCTGCTTGTTCAAAGAGACGGAATCTTGCTTAGACTTCTTTAATAACTGATCCAAGCTAGAATGTGAAGAGATACTCAAACCATCAAGCGCAAGATGGCTAGATGATTTAGCTCTGAAAATGGTATCAGAAAAAAAATAGAGTTCTTACTAAGTTTTGAAAACAATTCATTAAGTTTATTAAGTTCCGGGAAGATCTAAAATATTTATAAAAATTTAAAAAGACTTAATATAAACCTACCTAGAAAGATCTTCAGTAACTTCTGCCACTTTTTCATTTTTAGGAAACTCCGCTTGGAAATTCCACTGATTATAACAACGCATTTCACTTTGCATACCGATAATTAATAAGCCGTCACGAACCCAACCTAATGTTGTTGGCAACGGTGGCAAACCATCAGCTGATTTTAGCTCTAAAAACCGTATGCAAAGCCACCGCACCTGAAAATCCAAATAATATCACATAAATATTTCGCAAATTATCTTTTAAAAATGTAAAGATGTTCAACGTATTTGGAAAATCTTGAAGTGTCAACAATTTTTAACCAATACAAATAATTGTTCCACAGAAAGTGACTATATCCTCTTAAAAACACGTAAAGCAATAAACTAAAAATGAAAAACATTTGGCATCTTTTCCGTCTTGTTTTCATAACAGTTGATCTTTTAGTAATATTACGTTGCTTTAAAAAGAAAATTTTCTTATCTACTTTATCCACAACACTGTATATTATTTCCCATCACTACAACACAAACATTTTTTTAAACATGGAAATCAAAATAATTATTCAACATAATACTAGCGCATAAGCGCGAAAAGCATTAAAAATTAAATTAAAAACAACTCTACATTCTATGGCCAAATTTAGTTTTCTCTGAAAATCCACACGCAAAAACAAGCTGGAAATTATGTGCAGATGTTTAACAATAAATAATTTTACAAAACTAACCAAACGAGTTGATACGGTTTCCGGATTCGCAAGTGAAGAAGCCTTTCTCAAAGGGCCTCGACGATGTGTGTCATGTTCTTTCATCATTACAATATTTCTTTGTGCGGCACCCTGGGATACTTGGGTATATAAAAAAATATATGTACCCAATGCCACCGTAAGAATATGTGAACCATTTTCAGCAGAAACCCATTTCAGACACACATTATTAACTGGCATCTCTGTACAAAATTCTGAAACAGTAAATAAAAATAACAAGCTGCCGTAAGATTTTTTTTCTCTTTGCTTCTTGCATATGAAATTTGCAGTTGTCTCTCCTCCAATAATTGCTAAAAGCCAGCGGGTATATCTACTTAATTCTCCTTCTAACCAGTATAATGCTCATAATTAAAACAAATGAACATGAAGAAACCTGAAATGACTGTGTCTGATTCCCTGAGGTAGTTCTCGGCTAGGTCCTTACTGAAATTGCATCAATTAACACCAACTTTATTGTGATTCCATACAAAGTTCATAAAACAGAAATAGCGTGAATCCAAAATTACTTTTTCCTCTCTGTTAAAATTTATTGACCAAAAAATAAACTGATGTCACGTTAAAAAAAAAAAACCTCATTTTGTGCCGAAGGCTAACAGTGATTGTATCCTCACGAAGCCATTCAACACCACCCGATGATTCACATTCAAACACACCAACTTTGACGCTACTTATCGATGAAGTTGCACAAGACATGCCTTCGGGAAGGTAGGCACAAGCAAATCGACTGCTGTGAGCCGCTGATATCGAATATATTTGACCTAAAAAGTATACTAATGACAGAAACAATATTTCTGATTAACCTCTCAAGAGAAGCTCAAGAGAACTAGAAAAAAAGTATTGCTTGTCTCCCAATAAAAAAACCTTCACCGTCCATCTCTATATTCGAATCCGCGGTATTGCTAATCATTCTCCACATCTTCCATTTATAACAAATTGATTCATTACTTTCAGTAATTCTCAAGCATTCATAAAATCGGACATTTTCATCGCTGCATGCCAAAAGAACAAGATAAGGTGCCCTGTATGTGGGGTAAAGATTTGACGATGGCAGATGACCTGATGATGGCTCCACCAAAATCACCTTAAGCAAAAGCCCATTAAAAAGCAATGCTGGCGGTTTCATTAATATATAATTACCACTCACTATGGCTCATTTTTGTTTCATTTCATGATTTTAAATCCTGAAGTTGGCTTTTACAAACCATTTCAGTATATCAAAAGAAAATTTGAATGTGACAGTAAAAGAACTGCCGGTTAACTGCTAGATGAATGCCGAACTTTCCATAAGCCAAACAAAATTTGGATTAAAATTTATATTTACTTGATCAATAAAACATCATTAAGTTTACTTCTCTCTCAAAATACAGTAACGTAAATTAAGTGGAAAATAATGAGAGCTCACAGAAACACCATCTGGCAGTACAACATGATCATCGTAAACTAGATCAGTACTGAGCTGGAATTTGTTCAAAGAATCCTCGTTTCCGTTTTTCACACTGATTAAACCTGATGAATTCATTGCAAGCAGGTTTTCTATAATGCAGAAAAAAAGTGCTTTGCAAACAAGAATGTTTTAGATTTGCTTTGATTAGAATCATCTTCTTATCCAGATAGATCATTGCACAAAGAAAAAAGGTACCTAAATCTTCCAAATTACTAACAGCAATATTAATCAACCACATACGTAACCTGAAAATGATGCATATAATTAGATATTGGAATATAATTAGAATATTCAGATGGTGAGACCACCTGTACGATTATGAGGTGGTAACAAATTTTAAAAGACGCAAACCTTGTAAAAGAATCTTTCTCTTTTTCAAATAACACCAAATAACAACGATTAATGTTTGTTTGTTCAGTAGCTAAATTTTGCGATGTACCAGTAGCACCGGAAACGTCGTCTTTCGCAACTAGCAAACGTTCGTTGAAAGCATGAATAAGTAGAATTTTGTCTGCACACTGCAATAGGAAATATTAAAAACTGTAAAACACAAAGTAACGTTAATGGAAGTATTGAAAGAATAAGAAGCCATATAAAGAAACAGTGTGATGCGTCTGCAAAGCAAAGAACGAATTTTGAGCAAAATATTTTTAAGAAATTGCAATATTCTGAGAGAAAAAGAATACCGAGGCAGCATTAATACTCGACAACAAAATTATGCAACCAGGCTTTGTCGATGACTGCGTCGAAACAACTTTACACATTTTCTTCATACTTTCTTTATTTCGGATGTCAAAGGTCTTTCCATCACTGGTCGAGCAGCTGCAAAATGACGATCATTTTCAATCCTATTACAAATGTTGATCACATCAACCCTATTGCAGTGATCTCATTTATGCAATTTTATTGTGATTTACTTCGCTTACGACTCGTGCAGCAGGATAGAACGTATTTTGTATAGGATTATACCATGAATTCACGAAGCCTTAAATACTGGAAATGGTCACAATGCCACATTGTGAAGGAGTGTGATGCATTTGCTCAATCTCAACTTATTATATTTTTTTTTTTTTTGAAAGAAAAGCCGTACCACAAAATTTAATTCACCACCTTCATTTCGCGTTTTTCTTAGGATTTTTATCCCTTTCAATCAACAATTATTATTTGAAGAGATTCGAAAGCATTACGCACATGCAAAAAAACGGCATCGCAAATACCACGAAAAATATTGCTTTTTTAAAATTACTATTATTTACTCCAACAAACCAGGAATTATACGACTTACTTAGAACTCATCCCCCTTTTCATCAGTTCTCACTTCAAGCACTAATGAAGCATTTTAAACTGATATTTTTCTTTGGAAATCTACTGCGACTAGTATTGCGAAAATTTGCTTATTGCATACAGGTATTATTTTTAATTGAAACATTTAAAATCAACAATATATATAATATTCAAATAACGAGGAAACCAGAACTATTAAAAGAAACCTGCTTTCAAAATGAGAGACATCTCTTCTTCCAGAAGTATGTATATCAGTGAGAAATTCCGCAGCATCAACGATAGCTTCGTAAATGTTGATATGTCCAGAACTGTTAGCAACAAAGGAGGAGCAAGGTGAAGTCGACAACCACCCCAACAATGAACTGCATGTATATATAACTTATATTTATATTTACACTGTGAATTCAAAAACTGAAGAAACTAATAAATCTAGCAGAGTCGCAATTTCCACTGTGAAGTTTCAGCACTGCTTTAAAAAAAAAATTTCATTACCTTGACAAAATCACTGGCAACCATGTAACGGCTGTAAACGCATCAGATGAATTGCTTGTCAGTCGTGCCAATTCCCGAACGCCACCACATTTACACAGCGGCCCAACAGGATTTATCTTCCATAATATCAATTCAGCCTTTCCCGATTCTTCAGTGTCCTGTGTTATGTAATTGTAATGGCTAGTTGTAAGTACAAGAGGAAGCACCGGATGAGCAATGACCTAAACAGTAAACTATGAACAAAGAGAACACACAGGTGGTACTAACCACGAAAAATAAAATTCTACTGCAATAATATTATGACCGCTTGATCTTTAATGTGATATTACAGAAGCACCGTATCGATCTCACAATTCTCCATTTCAAACTACCATAACTCATAACATAAAATGTATTCCGCAGGCAACGCGTAACAACACCTCGTCTGCTGTATACCAAGTAAGCAGTAAGCAAAGAACAAATAACATCTCCCGGGCGATCGGAAATTAGAAATGAGTCTCACCCTCCAGCAATTGAAATGAACATTCGAAAGGAAGCGTTAACTGTACATACTGGGATTCCAGTTATGTGAAAACTTTAGCATATTTTAAATACCATGATATGAACCTGCGAAATTTTGTAACGGTGCCCACACATTCTTGAAGCATGTGATATATTAACAACCGTATTAAATTTGCCATTATCTTCAAATGTCAAATTCCACAAATTTAAAGATCCGTTGTTATGATGAGTCAGTAGATAGAGCAAATTTGTACTTCTTCGTTCAAATATTTGTGAAACCCCTTAAAAATCAAGTAATGCTAATTGTATTATATGAAAATACAAATAACGTGAATATTTCACGGTAGAAAAAATTTAGCCGGCAAAACGCCTACCATCCGAAGAGCAATTTTCAGCAAATTGTTCATGAAGAAAATTGTGTGGGTAATACACACTCAGCGAAGGATTTAATGACGTCGCATCTGAAAGTGAAAATGCAGATGGGAACCTTGAAGTGAAACTAATGGCAGGTTGTCGCAACGGATCATCAAGCCATTCGACTGTCCTGCAAAACGAAGCAATTTTCACCCAGTTCTTCAGAAGAATTGAATCCCCATTTTTTCGTTAACATATTCCGAACAGAAAGGTTAAGCAAAAACATTTTGAGGGAGTAGAAAAATTCTGAACATAATTCAAAACGTGATCTAGATATTTGGAACAAAGTTTTATCACTGAGAAAAAAACAAGATCTTTACCAGGTTAGCAAGCTGCCATCAACAGGATGCACAGCAAACAAAACGTCAGTAGACTTTTTCCATTCTCGTATAAGGATATTTAATTTTAAATCCAGAGGATCTTTCGATGATGTAGTATCCTCAAAGCAAAAAAAGATTATTTCTGAAATCTTCATTTTACTACACCGTGAGATTAAAATATAAGTGTTTACACACATTAGAAAAAGTCCCGGTTGCATCGTTGAAATTATTGGCAAGTGTTCCGTCCATGAATACATCTTCATGGTCCATAGAACCAGTTGATGTCACTTTAGCATCGTCAATATTATGTATGGATTCAGTGAACAAATTTTGCATCGACAGCACACTTTCTAAAAAATGGAATTTATTATTGTACAGATCAAGATCCTAATTCAAATTAAAGGACAAAAACAGTACTTCTAATTGAATTTTCAATTTCATTCGGTTGTGCAGAACAATCACTGATCAGAGCTTCTACCATAATTCTTTCAATGCCAGTGTCATAAACAATCTCTTTATTGTTTAACCAGTGAATCATAAACGGTCTTTGTTCAGAGGAAGTTCCCAAAGATGGAACCAAAAGACAATCTGTAATACGTAACACTCAAAAAAAAAAAAAAAAAAAAAAAAAAAAAGATAGTATCACCCATGAATTAACACCTTATGTTAAGGGAATATTTCAAAAAACACACCATTTTGAGCATTTATAGTAGTGCATAGATAGAATACAGGACTAGAGTCAGTCTGGTTGCCTGAAGCAATCTCGCATAATGAAGCGTTTCTGAACACACATGATCTTGTTGGCTGCATTAATTCACCTGCAAGTGCCTTTCTCTCCCTAAAAATAGTGTATTTAAAGATTTAATTTTCAGAATCTTCTGCTCTTCATTCCATTACTTCATATATTAATCACTATATCTAGCACTATATGTAACAGATCCCAAAAATCATAGCGTTAACAAAGCTGAAGAAATTGAGAAAATTATGTAAGTTAAAAATTCTTTTAACTTACATAATTTTCTTAAGAAAGGTTTTGATTTTTGCCCGAGTACTTCGAAGTGAATGTTTTTTGGAGCAACGTTCTCCCGTGAGACTTTTTTCGATACATATCACCTCCGCTGTACTAATAACAGTCTGGAAGTCAACAGATATGGTAGTAGATTCTTTCCAAATCCGAACTGTATTGTCTCCACACCAGGTGAGCAAAGCATTCTGAACATATTGCCTGGAATAGTCAATTGAAATCAACGATCCCACTTTACTATAGTAGAGATTATGTTGAAAACAAATAAAAACCAGTTGTATGATAAATAACCGTGACATATAACGAGGAATTTTCCGCCATTCAAAACCAGTAACTGGTTGAGGGTGCTGCACATAACTGAAACCAAATGAAAGACCATTTTCACTATTCTCTACACCACCAGATTCTGAAAAGCAAACAAATAAAACATTTTTTTATAAAACATTTTTCTAAAAAAAAAATAAAACATTTTTCCAAATAAAACATTCACAAATTACAACTTTGACAAAGATCCACTATGCTTACTTCTGTTCTAGGAAATACCGCAGCTAAGACTAAGGATTGTAACAGTTTCCATCCACTTTTTCTTGAATTTAACGTTGTGACACTAGGTGAAGACACGACAGAACATGACAACGGAGTTCAAGCACAAGAAAAAAAGACATATATTGGTCAATATTTACCTTCTCTCTGAAACCATATCTTTACCAGACAATCTGAAACACCACAGGTAGCAAAATAAGTTCCATCAGGCGAACTAGCCATGAACTTTGGTTTTGCTGCTAATTTCTGCGACCAAACACAATTCCAAGACGAAACTCTTTCATTTTCCGGTTCATTTTCCTGAAAAAGACTAGTTACTTTGATAAATATGTGTACAGGATCCACAGCTTAAAATAAAAATCATATAAATGACCTCTTCAACTACTCCGAATGCTACGGTATCCAGTTTAACATCTAAAGCAGCAGAAAGAAGCAAATTTTGATAAAGGTGAAGCACATCACCACAACATATCAATAGTCGCAAGCCTTGCAAACTCCATTGTATCTTATCCACTGCGTACTTCAGGGGAAGATTAGATGTTTCAATCCATTGGTACGTAAAACCCTATAAACATTTTCAAATCTATATTAGAGGTAGAAATCAAAAACTTAACAGATTATTAGAAGAAACAACCTAAAGAAATAAAAAAATGAGTTGAATAATTTTAAGTTGAAAAATAACAATGAATGTACGTTAGTCCCATCTTCCGTTCGCATAATCGGTTCATAAACGCGTACCACACTGCTATAAGTTGCTACAATCTACAATGCAAGCAATTCATTTCATATTACACTGATGAACAAAGTGAATGCAACATTCGCCACGTGTTCATACAAACAATTCATTGACTTACCCAATTCAGACAATCTACATTTTTAACAAAATACCAAAGTAGTCTTTGAATGATGATACTATAAACAGTATCTCATCTTATTCAAATGCTTATGTTTGAGCAACACTTGAACAGAATTTTCAGCTAACCATCCAGAAAAAAAAAGATGAGGAATAAAAACCTTTCCAGTTTCACAGCAAGCTGATACACATTTCACTAGTAAACCTTCGTCACAACTTGCAGGTGTAATAACTTGCACACGCTTGAAGGAAGATGAATATATCACGACATTCGTACCAACTGCGCACGCCTGTTGATGGACAAGATATCAAAAACACAAGTAAATAAATATTTGCACATATTTTACATTAAAATGAAGCAAGAGATGACAAACCGTAAAACTAAGACCATCGATCACTCCAACGCTGAAAACCTCACCACCACGGTTAAGGGCTCCAGTCAAAATCTGATGCACATTCATTCAAATTGCATAATCACCCTGGAAGGATGAAGTAAACTATAGCATCACAGCAACTTAACTCATTAAAGTAAAACTTCTCCAGAAGTAGGTACATATTAAAACTGAGATAAGATTTATTAGTTCTATTAGTAACCTCCGGAAGAGTTATGGAGAATTTTTCAATTACTCTGAGAAGTTTTGACCAATCTAATGTGTTCGAGTAATGTTTTCATGACATGAATCTTTTCATAATGCTTATATTTTAGCTGAAGTTTCAATACCAAGTACTTCAGCAGCTTACCAGTGGCATACTAAGGGAAGCAGTGGCTCACAATTACAATGTTGCGCGACAAAAATGCTTACGTTCTTTGCTGACTGGTGACAAGGCGAATAAGATTACAAGTTGAGTACAGTGGTCCTCAACAAACTGGAAAAAACATCTTTTATGGAGAACCAAAACACGAATGAAAGTGAACGATTGCACGCTCATGTTTCCAGAAGCCTTGGAAGTTCCTGGATGATCTTACTGTATCTGGATACTAACGCCTTACATCTTGCATCTGCTTCATTTCAATTTTCACGAAAGAGATATTTGGCACTTATTCCATTACCTTCCCCTCTTCCCCTTCCATGCACACTCCCAGTAGTTCTCATCGCTCAAACACCACCAAAACTGATTCATCCAGACAACAGTCAACGATGTCGGTGAAATAATTTTTAACGGAAACAATTTAGTGGTACTGTTTGTACGTAGTTGCACTGCGAGACTATCTCTGGAGAGGCGATTCTGAACCTGCGCAGTGGAATCAGTTGATTTGAAAAGTGCTTAGAGGCAGAGGTTCATTGGAAGGAACACGGGGGAAGGGACAGAGAATATGTCTGAAGATGTTTTGTTTAAGAAATTACAACCTATCAGTGAGTCATCTGTGAGAAGTAGAGAAAAGGTAGGGACAACAGGGGCAATAGATTATTGGGCACTAGACTCATTATTTTATAACTTCCATTATGTGGGAAATATTTCTTAAAAAAATCAGACATTTTTATATAAAACTAAAACGAAACATTTAACGGTGCCATTTAAAGTCTTGGTCATCATCGAGATCATTAATTAACTGATGAATAGTAAGCTTCTATCATGCTCTCTTGAAACCGTTACTTCTGTTTGATTTGTTGTGGAGAGTAGAAGTACAAAGTTAAGGAGACGAGAGAAGTGTCGTCTTTCACTGCTTCCTCGAGACTGACCTATTTGCGCCTCATTTTTTCCCGCCGCATTTCTTCTGAATGTCTGCCCTCTGTTCCGTTTCCTCTTCTACTTCCTTTCAAATGATCTAGGAATGAATGCTAAATTTTTATGTAAATGTCCGCAGTCCAGGTTGATGATTCCTCTATTTTTTCGACTGCTGTAGTGGTCTGCTATTCCAAACTGGTAAACATCGTCTGAATTGTTGACGGGATAATATCCATGAAGTAACTTGCATTTTTAGCATTGAACAAAATAATTGCAACTCAGTAAGATGAAAGGCATTGCAAAAATGTGCCTACACCTTGATAACCTGTTAAAAATGCTTTCCGATGCTTCGCTTTGCATAAGCGACCAGTATCTTGTACGCTTCGGTTTCTGTACCATTCAACATATTTATGTTCCTCCTCATAATCGAGAACAAAGCAAAACAATTCTGTAATCGGGATGTTATAGTACTGTGCTGCACTTACCACGGACAAAACGTTTAACCATCTATGCCTCATACGAAAAAACTCTTTTTGCTGTGTACAAGAGTGTTTTCAGTCTTAAATGAAACGATAAATTTTAGTAATAATGAATGAAGAGGACGAAAAAAGCACTCTCGCAATGATGGTGCATCCAGAAGCCTAAAACGAACGGCTCAATAAAGAAAAATGACAGTTCCAAGGAGATTCTTCAGAAGCAGGTAAGCATTCTACTTCACTATCAACCATCCTTATCCGTCAAAGAGTTTTTGGTAAAAATGAAAAATAGATGCACAATTATTACAAGCTACTTGGGAACTTTGTGCTTTGTAAAACAAGCATGATTATACTTTAGAAATAAATTATAATAAACACAGTGCTACATATGTAAGGACGTCCTAGAGAGTATTACAATGAGTTATCAAGTAAATTGCAAAAGCTTTCTTCTATCCATATTCGAAGCTTTTGGTTATTCCATTGTCATCCTTACGATAATAGCCTTTGACGTTTAGCGTTTGGTTTTACAGTGCTGGCAATATATATTATCGATGTATAGAAATAAACACGAAGAATTCGACGTACGGAATGTCGAGGGTACGAATAATTCTTGATATAAGCTTTTATGAAATGTGAACTCCGATGCTTCATTCCTCTGCGTGTGTGCTCGGTAAATTTTTTGGTAGTCATATAAGCAACAACGATCAGAGTCATGCTACCCACAAGTAGTTAAATAATATGAACTTATTAACTTGATCTATAGAAATCTCAATTTTTTGACTTTTACGATTGCCAAGAAATGTTGAGGCAGATAAACAAACTTTTTAGCGTTCGCTATGTGAATTATGGCGTGCTAAAGCGTGATGTGAAACGTGATGTTCTGAAGTGTTCCACCTTTTCACTAACATATACTCTGAAAGTTAACTCTAGCCTTACAAAAGAGTACATTCAAATATGTTTGCGAAATTCGCGATTGTTTTGAATTCTCCTACTCTTTTTTTCAGTTTTTTTTTTGTGTGTGTTTTCAGTGTAATCGTCCATTAGCAGGTCAGCCACGTATCCCGCACCATGAAAACTATTTCAGTACGGCACCAGTTAGGTGAGAATTAGGTTTGCGGGTTCAGTGCTGCTATTGTTGCTCACATCATTCACGCTCTTGCAGCGGGTACTTTTGAAATGGTCCCAATATGTGCTACTCTAATAGTAACAGTATGAAATCTGTTGTACTGGTGCCTTGTGTTGAGATATTGTGTAATTTACTGTTAGGTATTTTGTTCGAGGATAAGTGAAAGCTGGAGAAGTTGCGGTCTAGCTTAAAAGAGTTATGGAATGTTGAAAAGCTGTGATAAAAGACTGTTTCCTGTTATGACTGGTAACAAAAGTGTTAGGGTTCTACTTTCGCTAATTTAAATTGATCCAATGAAACAGATCACTAGCTAAGGAATGAGTTCTTTCGCCGATTTCCAAGACATTTATGGATTTTTAGCTGAGAATTCATTGATAATAAATGTGTTTTATTTGAGAAATTGGTTAATGATCATCTTCATAGTTATGACCGTTGGTTGTGTCTTTCTAAATATTCTGGATTAAAACCCAGTAAAAGAAAAAAGGTGATTTCCTTCTTGCACCTGATAATTTGTATTCGTTTTGTAAGGAGTATGGCAGAATTTTGAGATTAGTTTAGTTCGTGCACTTTATGCTATTGTTTTAAAATTCGAAACACAACATAACTTGTATCTGTACGTGTTACTGACGAAATTACGTTTTAGATTCATTCTGTTTCATTGTTTTCTGCGTTTTGTTCGCTGGTCATTTTGTTTAACTTTTGGGATGCATCCTTTTGTATATTCCAAACTCGAGGGTCCTATATGTCAATCGTTTCAAGATCACAATTTTCAGATGATCAGAATCACCTTTCAACACGCGCGTTATTGATTTAGACTACTATTTGACAAGGTCTCAAGTTGCCAACAAATTTTATGTATTTATTTTCAGAAGGAGGGTTTTTAGAATGACGGCTTCAGGTGGAGGTGCGTCATCAACAACTGGTGATACTTTTGATCGACCCATGTTGAAGGAAGTTGACCAGTGGATCGAGCAGCTTTACGAGTGTAAGCAGCTCACTGAAGCTGAAGTTAAAACGTTGTGTGATAAGGTAAGCCCAGACGGCCAAAATTAGATGAAGGATGTTAGATGAAAAGTACTGAGTAGAAGCAAGGTGCATAATTTATTATTTTTTAAACTGCATGTTTTCTGAAAATCATTTAGTGATAGACTCAAACTACCAAAGTTTTAGTTTATATGAATCTTGTAATGGTTGCTGCAGTAAGACAAAATGTTTGGAGCCCCACAGCTGTATCGTATGTAACACGCAGTATTGATAAACCCAGATTAGGAGAATGTTTTTAATCAAGCATTGCAGGCGAAGGAAATTCTACAGAAGGAATGTAATGTTCAGGAGGTGAAATGTCCTGTGACCGTTTGTGGTGATGTACATGGGCAGTTCCACGACTTAATGGAGCTTTTTATGATGGGAGGAAAGTCGCCGGACACTAATTATCTATTTATGGGTGATTACGTTGATAGAGGCTATTATTCCGTCGAAACCGTGTCGCTGCTGGTTTGCCTAAAGGTCATTTTTCAAAATATTTTTTTCGTATTGGTTTGTTGCGATAAAGCTCTTGATTTTTTTCAATCGCAGGGGTCAGAAACGAAGTAATTGATTTAGAAATTGCCAAAAAATGCTATCTTTGGAAATCTTATAATTTCATGTTTCGTTTGTTTCCGGTTCCTTTCTTTTTGTATTCAACGAAGCACATTTATCAGATATACTGCTTTTATGTGCGGCCCATATGACTTTTCAGGTCTTCTTTCGTCTTATCACTTAAAAACACTTTCCTCAGTTGCGATTCTCTATTAAAGGCCTTTTTCAGGTTAGATACAAGGAGCGTGTTACTATTTTGCGTGGAAACCATGAATCTCGGCAAATTACGCAGGTATTCTTATTCGTATCAGTTACAGAAATATGATGAGATTTTTCAGAATGTTTCAAGAGCTGAATATTTGCAGAATATTTTTGTGATATTTGCATTTTTAGGTGTTGGGAGTCTATATTCAGGTGTTTTTTCAGGTGTACGGGTTTTACGATGAATGTCTTCGTAAATATGGCAACTCAAATGTTTGGAAGCATTTTACTGACTTGTTTGACTATTTTCCATTAACTGCGTTGGTGGATGGTCAAATTTTTTGTTTACACGGTGGTCTTTCGCCGTCTATTGACAGTCTTGACCATATTCGCGCTTTGGACAGACTACAGGAAGTTCCTCATGAAGGTAACCATGAACTGCATTCACGTTAATTCTTTTTTTGCTGTGTTGACTATTTTTGCTTCAAAATATATTTTGTTTATTGTACATCATGTTTGTTCTAGGTCCTATGTGTGATCTGCTATGGTCCGATCCGGATGATCGTGGTGGCTGGGGTATCTCTCCACGTGGAGCAGGATATACGTTTGGTCAAGACATTTCGGAGACTTTCAATCATTCTAATGGTCTCACGCTTATCTCAAGGGCTCACCAGTTGGTCATGGAGGTATATTTTCAATCTAGTTATTGTTATCGATGCGGAAACTAGGTGGTGATGTTTGAATTGTATAACGAACTCAAATATTTGGTTCGTTGAAGTTTGCCAGAAAATAAATTTATTATGGAGTCAGTGCATGAGTGTAATAAAAATTGTGAAATTTCCTGCTGACCTTTTTAAAATAGCACTCACTCCATAAAATTGCTGAAAAGTTTGAAGACCTTATCTAGCATGCACTGCAGGCTCTTCCACTTTCATCGAAAGTAATGTCTTTTTAGAGTTGTTATATTGTTAGGCAAAAGTTTCCTTTGGAATTCCACTGATACATTACAACTTTTAGTTTTGAAAGATATTCGAGTTCATGAATTGTTTTTATACTGATTCTTGGTTAATAAAGTAAATAGTTTATAGTAGCACTTTGTCATGTAAGCAACTAGATTCGTTTTTAATTGTTTTAGATATTTTGAATTTTTTACAGGGTTATAACTGGTGCCACGATCGCAATGTTGTTACTGTATTCTCAGCTCCCAATTATTGTTATCGATGCGGAAACCAGGCAGCGATGGTTGAATTGGATGACGAACTCAAATATTCGTTTTTGCAGTTTGATCCTGCCCCTCGTCGTGGAGAACCACACGTAACTAGGCGAACGCCTGACTATTTTCTTTGAATTAACAGGAAATCAGTTTTTTCTGCTACTGCTTAATGTTCGTGCCAGAGAATGCTTCATTTTTTTTTTTTTTTTTTTTTTAAATAAAATCTGGGCATGCATTATTCAAAAATATGATTTATCTTTTATTTGAATACAGTGTTATTTTGTGACTGAAGACATTGGTCACGGGCTATATTAACAGTAATTTTTTTTTAACAGTGGAGTTGTTACTATTTATTCATTACTAAAATCAATATTGCGAAAGAAGCACGGATGCGGTTGGCTTGGATGCATAAGGATTACTTCTTAATTAATCTTGTTGTCGTCTTTTTTTTCTTGCAACTTCTAAGTTATTCGTCTACGCTGAGTTTAAAGGCTGCTTTTCACCTCTCGCTGGCACATCCTATAATACTATGGAAAGATATACAAGAATTTCTCAAATTAATCGACCTTGTGAAGATTTTTTATTGCATTATCAAAAGCCGTCTACTGAAATGTTTTAAAGGTTGAAAGTTAACAATTTGTTGTTTTGTTGTATGTAGAACGTATAATTAAGAAGGGTTTAGTAGCAAATTTTTTTTTTTTACAGAAGATTGAATGTACATAATCTGTATTTTTCAAGTAAGAGATCACATTTTGTTCATTAAATTTGGTATTCGGGTTTGGCCTATTGTGGTCTTTGACCCCATAGATATGAGGTAACCGTTGTTTTATTGTGATTTAAAATTTCTCATGTTGTATAAAGCATGATTCTTATAATACACTTATCCACCAAAAATGGGTTTACTTTAGGTATGCAGGTAAGTTG